ATGTGTTCTATGGATGGCTGCAGCGTCAGTAATCTCAAAATTTGGATAGGACTCTGGGGGCGTCCAGGATGTCTTCAGTCTACAACGCCAAACCTGTCCTATCTCCTCTTCCAAATACGCCACTAAATCTTTTGCTTTGACATGATTGTCAAATCCACCAAAACTAACTTGAGTTACGACTGTGTCTTTCTCACTTTTCTGTGTCTCCATTCTGTTGGTGCAGATTTACCAATTTCGGGAGCCAAAAATTGCAAATCAAAATTTCCCGAACAGATCTCTGGTAGAGCCTGATAAAGAACGAAACAGGTACATATGAGGAAAAAAATGCAGAAGAACTTTTTAATCTTGAATAAAAACCAATAAATTTATATCTAATGGACCAATAAAAATACCCAAAACATCAGCAAAAGATATAACAATTTTATAATACTGTGTAAAAGTTCCTCAAGACAAATATAACAACCTCCATTTTCATAACAAATTGCAGTGTGTTTTCATGACAAATAGCAGTGTTGTTCTGAACATTCCATTTCCTTCTCTTTGATTAAGATTCTTAAAAGACAAATGAAAACTTGAAAGTAAGCAGGTGATCAATGGCGCTAACTGGAATTCCCATGCAACAATGGAAAAGCACAATGAGGTAGATTAGTTAATTTTAAATTTAAAAAGGATCCCACTTGATCCTAGAATTTCAAACTCAAAATTCATTCCTTCTGTTCTCCAAACTGTGCAGAAAAAGCACGAGACACAAATTTCGTTCACATTTCCCTTCAAATCAGAAAATTAAATTAACCCCACTATCTCAAACCAAGAATTCAACTTTCCACTGACAATTAATGTCAAATAAGGTACATCCAAACCAAATAGAAAAATAGAAAACAGTAGTCAATTACATTTCACATATGAAATTAATCCTTATCAACCAATTCCCACTAGTGCAATCAGCTATACAAACAACGAAATGTATATATCAAACAAAATGAGTATCGGAATGTAATCAAAGAAGAAAAGCCCAACTAACCTTTTTATCGCTGATGATCTTAATCGGTTTTGTTTTAATGGGTTCTGTTTTGGAGAGAGATACAGCAGGTGAGTAAATCGTGACAGAGTGAGACGGTGAAGCAGCAAAAATAAGGGGCATGATATTTATGCATGCTTTCTTATGGGTAGCTTCGAAGAGAAGTTGTTCTGCGTCACCTTAGAGGAGAAGTTGTTCAAACTTCAAACAGAGGTAGTGAGTGCGTGATAGACAATTTGTAGGCCCCACAGCATCACTCATTTCTGTTCTTCATAGTTGACTCACCAATCAAAATACTACCTTCTTGGCTAATTTATTTAACATTCTTTTAAGAGCTAATTTATTTAACAATAATTTAAACATATACGTTAAAAAGTATTATTCTGTCACAACATATATAAGTTGTTTAAAATTTTTACACGTATATTAAATAAACAATCAATTCTTTTAAATTATAATAAAATCAATAATAATTTAATTAAATTATCATTTATTTCAAATCAAGAAGTATTTATAAAGCTAGTTATATTATTCAATATAAATGAAGACAACATTGAAAAACATCTTTTATGTTCCTTAAAATACTCAAAATGTTTTATATTTTTTAATAAAATAAACACTTAAAACCGACTTATATAATAAAATACTTCCTCATTTCTTTTTATATATAAAAATTTTTTATTTTTTGTGTTCTTTTTATATGGGAAATTTTGCCTAATTTTGTAATTTTGAGAACCATGCCGATGTGAGAAGTCTATTTCACCCTTATTTTAATCATTTGTGAAGCTTTTAATATAGGAGATTCTCAAGATAGTAGCAAACAAAGATATAGATGAGTATTAAATGTGAAAAATTTTTGGAGAATTGATTTTTTACATCAATTTTCTTTAAAAAAATATGCTCATATAGGTGATTTGATTGTTAATTAAAATAGAGTTTGAATAGAAAATGACTACAATATTTTTAAATTGACCACAATGAAAGGAATTCTTATAGACTTCGTTCGAATATTTGAAAAGTTAAGTGATTTTTAAAGTATGTTTCAATAACCAAAGATAGCTAGAAGGTTAAATGAGTATAAATTAAAAATTTTCACACAACTTTCCTAAATAAAGGACCAAAAAATGAATTTTTCTCTACAAGTCACGACATAAAGTTTATTTTTTACAACCATCTTTACATTGATATTAGACGAGGAATAAATGAAATATTAAGGGTAAATTAGAAAAAAAAAAAAGAAAAAAGTTGGTTAAATTATTTTCTTAATTTTGGTAAAAAATTAATTGTGCCTTTATAAAAAGAACGGTGGGAGTAACAAGAATTCAAACGTGGTTAAATAAAAAAAAATCTAAAAGTCTTAATTTTAAAATTATTTTTAAATTAAAATTTTGCTCAATATACGATAAATTTGATAATATACTCGAAATTTATGTTTTAAATATACTGAGCCCATACATGAACCCATAAAGCCCAGTCGCTCATCAATAGATCACCCTCCGAAAGGGCTGGCCCATATCTGAAAACGGTTGACGTCAACTTTGCAAATGCTCTTTACTAGCCAGGAGGCCTTGATCCTCCAACCCTGTGGTTAACAGCCAGACACTCTAACCGAGCCATTCCAGCTTAATTTTATAATTATTATTATACTAAGCATTTGACATTGATGTCATGGAACCACTATTTCTTTTTCTTTTTCTGTTTTTTTTTCTTCTAATTTTTAATTAATGAATCGAATTGGCATATCTTTAAACTTGGACAAAACGATCCTTATCTCGATAAAGAATCTGCTTTTGTATATCCATCATGCACTTGTCACTATTACAACAACTGTTTTTTTTTTTTTTTTTTTTTTTTTTTTTAAAAAAAGTATTATTTACTGTCACAAACAATATATAAGTTGTTTTAAAATTTTTACCACGTAATATTAAATAAACAATTCACACTTCTTTTAAAATCTATATAAAATCCAATAATAATTTAATTAAAATTATCATTTATTTCAAATCAAGAAGTATTTATAAGCTAGTTATATTATTAACAATATAAATTCGGAAGACACCACATTTTGGAAAAACATCTTTGTGAGTGTTCCTTAAAATACTCAAAATGTTTTTATATTTTTTAATAAATAAACACTTAAAACCGAAACTTATATAATTAAAATACGGTTCCTCCATTTCTTGTTATCATATTAAAATTAACTTTTTATTTTTTGTCGTTCTTTTTATATGAACTGGAAATTTTGCTAAGATTTGTAAGTGGTTTGAGAACCATGCCGTGTGAGGAAGTCTATTTCACCTTCATTTTTAAATCTATTTGTGAAGCTTTTTGAATAGTAGGAGATTCTCAAGATAGTAGCAAACAAAAGATTATTAGATGAGTTTATTAAAAACTGTGCAAAATTTTGAGAATGCATTTTTTACGAAATCCAATTTTTCTTTTTTTAAAAAAACTATGTGCTTCATAATTTAGGTGATTTGATTGTTAATTAAAATAGATGTCTTTGAATAGAAAATGGAACTACAATATTTTTAAATTGACCACAATGAAAGGAATTCTTAATTAGACTCGTTTCGAATATTATGAAAAGTTATAAGTGATTCCTTTAAAGTATGTTTCTCAATTAACCAGAGAAGATTAAGCTAGATGGTTTAAATGAGTCGATAAATTAAAAATTTTCACACAACTTTTCCTTAAAAAAAAAGGACTCCAAACAATATGAATTTCTTTCTCTAATCAAGTCACGACATTTAAGTTCATATTTTTTCAACTATTCTTTACGGATTGATATAGACGAGGAATAAATGAAATATTAAGGGGTAAAGTTAGAAAAAAAAAAAAAAAGAAAAAAGTTGTGTTAAAATTGATTTTCTTAATTTTGGTAAAAAATTAAAGTTGTGCCTTTTTATAAAAAGAACGGTGGGAAGTTAACAAGAATTTCAAACGTGGTTAAATAAAAAAAAACATCTAAAAGTCTTTAATTTAAAATTTATTTTTAAATTAAAATTTGCTCCAATATACGATTTATAAATTTGATAATATACTTTCGAAATTTTATGTTAATTATAAAATATACCTGAGCCCATACATGAAACCCATTAAAGCCCAGTCGCTCATCATAGATCACCCTCCGAAAGGGCTGGCCGCATATTTCTTGAGAAACGGTATGACGTTCCAACTTTGGCAAATTGCTCTTACTAGCACAGGAGGCCTTGATCCTCCAACCCTGTGGTTAACAGCCGAGACACTCTAACACGATCAAGCCATATCCAGACTTAATTTATAATTATTATTATACTAAGACATTTGGAACATTGATTGATCATGGAACACCACTATTTCTTTTTTCTTTTTCTTGTTTTTTTTTCTTTCTAATTTTTTAAATTAATGAATTCGAAATTGCGGCAGTATCTTAAACTTGGACAAAACGATCCCTATATCATCGATAAAAGGAATCTTTCTTTTGTATATAACAATCATTGGCCACTTGTCACTATCTACAACAACTGTTTTTTTTTTTTTTTTTTTTTTTTTTTTAAATTACAAGAACTTGAATTTATGAAGACTTTTTTTTTTTTTTTTTTTTTTTTTTTTTTTAAATACAAGAACTTAATTATGAGACTGATGTTTTTTATTTTTGGAGTTCTTCAACATTTCCTCTGCTAAACCCAACCGTGAATTGCAATTTTAAACTCTATTTTTAAATAGACTGTTTTGAAATAATTATTTAAAAATTGATGATTTTATTCAATTTCAAAGATATAAAAATTAAAAGATAAATTCGATTTATGATTTAAATTGAAGACATTCAGCACTCAAAATCTTATAAATACTTATTAACGTGAAATTTCTTTTAATATGAATATTGTTGTAAGAGTGAGTAATTTTCAAACTCTTTCATATATGAATATTAACTTCAAAAAATTAGTATTGGTAAAATTTCATTTCAGAAGGGAAAATATGTAATATTTGTACAAACTGACGAAGGTGAAAAAAAAAATGAACACGACCCAATAGAAGAAGTATCGCTTTTGTCAAAGAAGACGAGTATATTCCCATTCATATGCCGGGAATATTCTTCATTAAATTTTTTCGCATTTTTCTTTCTCAATTGTCAATATCCCAATTCGCGGAACAAGGTCATTGTTTTTTTTTTTTTTTTTTTTTTTTTTTTTTTTTTTTTTTTTATTTATATAGAATAATATGAAGATATAATTATGACGTATAAATATAAATAGAAATTTTTTTTTTTTTTTTTTTTTTTATTTTTGTTGGGTTTTTATGCGTTATTAATAGAAAAATTATCAATCGTCAATTATACGGCGACAGTAACAGGAATTCATACCCGGCGACAGTGATCAGGAGCAGCAGAGCAGAGAGATGAAGTTTTGGAAGAGCCTGAGTATATTGATAGAGGATACTTTACCAGAGTGGAGAGACAAGTTTTTGTCTTATAAGGATTTGAAGAAACAACTGAAGCTGATATATCCCAAGGACGGTGACAAGCCAACGAATAAGCGGCCGAGATTGGATGCTGCCGTGGCGTTGGATAGAATGGATGGTGAGGATCCTAGGGAGGAGAGTGGCGGTGAGGTGGCAAAGGAGGTTATCGATTTCGTTAGGCTTTTGGAGGATGAGATGGAGAAGTTCAATTCTTTTATTTTTGAAAAAGAAGAGGACTTTGTTATTAAATGGAAGGTACTTATTTCACTGTCTTTTTCTTTTTTGACTTTTTTTTAATGAGTTTTGTTGTTTAGAATCCGATTGGATTGAATTTATATGTCAAATTGGAATTTTGGAAATTTAACATGAGAATCTACATGAGGAATTTATATGTTACAGAACAACTATGATCAAAATTTGAATTAAAAATGGGAAATTTCTATGTAAAAGATGGAAATTTTATGGTTAAAGGTTTCTAGTTTGAAGGTGGGGAGCTGCTATTTGCTTTTTGTTCATTGGAAAATGGAAATCCCTGGAATCTAGGGGGAAAGGGGAATGAATTCTTGGTAATTCTTTTTCTGCATATTTTTCATGATTCATAGAGTAATGTGCTATTACTAAAACTTGATTGTTGACATGGCCTATACGCCAATTGATTGACGTAGGAACTTGAAGAAACAGAGATTTTTTGCTTTATGTATGCTATATTTCTACATGCTTTGTTATTGGAATCTTCTGTATATATGAAACTCTGGTTTTGTTAAATATTATTAATAATTTGAAACTTGTATATGTTTGGAAATTGCCATTGTAACTTCTAGTTGCTGATAATTTGTTATATTTATTACCCACCACTTGCCACGGTTCTCTGGATGGCATTATATTTTGTCCTTTTTTTTTTTTGCCTTTTCTGATGTATGCAATATCTTGCTGTATGTTTTGTGTCAGTGAGAATGAGAACTGCGATACATGAACGTATATTGAAATTTCTTTTCTTTTGTCTTGTTTTGTAATGCAGGAACTGCAAAATAGTGTAGAAAAGGCCAGGGATTCAAATGAAGAGCTGATGAAAGTAGGGAGGGAGATAGTAGATTTTCATGGGGAGATGATTTTGTTGGAGAATTACAGTGCTCTTAATTACACAGGTGTGAATAAATATATAATGGAGTATCAGAAAGATAAATATGGCTTAAATATTTGATTTTCCACTTCTACTAAGATTGTGAATGTGAGTTCTATATGTTTCCTTAATCCAACAAAAATGACATTATATCCCCATTCACAATTAGCATGTGATGCTAAATATTGCCTGTAGGGTACAGACATTTAGTTAATGTAAGTTGACATTATGGTGGCAACTTGAGGACAATTAGGGCTAACACAAAATGCTGAAGGCTGATGGCCGTTCTAGTTGAACTTCACACAATTTCAACTCCTACATATTTAATAGAATAACCATAAAAGGGAAAGAAGTTTCGCACCAAATGGTTTTATTTTAATCTGATTAATCTTCTAATGATCTTGACAAGTTGACATTGAGGTTGTCTCTTTCAAGTGTGTTTGGATTTGAACTGATTCCAATCTCGTTATTTATGCACAGGCCTCGTGAAGATATTAAAGAAATATGACAAGCGAAGTGGCGCTTTAGTTCGTGTGCCCTTTATCCAAAAGGTTATGCAGCAGCCATTCTTCACTACTCATGTGCTTAACAAGCTTGTGAAGGAGTGTGAGACGATGCTTGATCAGCTCTTCTCTAAAAATGAGGCATCTATTTCACCTAAAGCAACTGAAGATGTAGCAGACTGTGATCCTAGAACTCCAACTGAAAGTAAGGAGGGGATTATTAGAGTTCCAAAGGAACTCACTGAGATTGAAAATATGGAGAGCATGTACATGAAGCTAACTTTATCAGCACTGCGTGTCCTGAAAGAGATTCGGAGTGGAAGCTCGACTATAAACATGTTCTCTTTGCCCCCTTTGCAAAGTAATGCCTTGGAGGAGGATTGGAAGAAAGTCCCTGTCTTGGAACAAGCTGCCAAATAGAGTTTTATTTTCAGAATCTAACTTCCCTTTTTGTATAAAATTTCAAATATTGGAAGGATTCTCCAACTCTTTCTTTTTGGGTTGATACGATTTACTTTGCTTTGATTGTTGTGTTTCTTTGCTAAGTAATTGTGTAACCTTATTATCGAGCTCCTGAAAGTTGTCAACTTTTGTGTCTGAAAGAAGTTGGGTGCTTTGGATCCCTTGGACCTTTGCCCAAATTTGGTTTAGTTGGTTCTGATAGGATATTTCAGTTTCTTATAGCTAGTCTCTACTCTCTAGAGTGTCTTGGATTTCGGAAATAGGACATTTAGCTTTTCTGGTTTTAATGGAGATTATATTTTTAATTTTTCTCACTGATATGTTCTCAGAAACACTTGAGGGAAATTTCGGATATCTACAAACAACAAGCGCCTGTAGCTCAGTGGATAGAGCGTCTGTTTCCTAAGCAGAAGGTCATAGGTTCGACCCCTATCTGGCGCGTTTTTTTTTTTAAACATATATTTCTTTTTTCTTGCTCTTTCCTACCCCACCTCAAGAGTGATCAACCCGACACGCAATTTCTCCTTTCGTTTTTCTTTCTTTTTCTTTCTCTTTTCATCACTTTGTTTTCCCTCTTGTTTTTGTGTTTCTTCTACACGTCTCACACATGCACATACGGCAACATATGCATATCAAAATTTCATCAAGATCGGGTAAAGATCAACCCGATATGCAATTTTTCCTTTGGTTTTTCTTTCTCTCTCTCTCTCTCTCTCTCTCTCTCTCTCTTCATCACTTTGTTTTCTCTCTTGTTTTTGTGTTTCTCCTTATGGATGACCAACCTAACATGTGCTTTTCTATATATATCCTTTTTTTTTTTTTTTATGATTTTTAGTGATTAATGTCCTTTAGATGATCCACCCAAAACTTACCCTCTATCTGTTAAATTAAATAATAAATTGTCTAGCAAAGCTATGAACATGATCCTTAATTATGTTTATTTTCCATACATTTTCCATTGTTATATTATATATATGTGTGTGCAAAACTTGAGGTTCAGGCCATAATTACAAAAGGCAAAAATGTCTATTGTTGCAGAAGCCCCTGGCTACCTCCAAGTCTTTTCTGACGGGTCTGTAAAACGCTTTGCACCAGAAACATTCCCTTCAAGGCAACCCCATAACAAATACAAGTTTAAAGATTTAGTCATTGACCCATCAAAACCAATAACTGCAAGGCTATTCCTTCCTGAATCTTCTGCAAGTAGACTTCCAGTTCTAGTTTATTTTCATGGTGGTGGCTTTTGCGTTGGCTCAACCACATGGCTTGGCTACCATCACTTTCTTGCAGATTTCTCAGTCACATCCCAATCCATTGTTCTTTCTATTGATTATCGTTTGGCACCAGAGAATCGCCTTCCGATAGCTTATGACGATTGTTACAGCTCACTTGAATGGTTGAGTCATCAAGTGAGTGTTGAACCTTGGCTACAGTCAGCAGATCTTTCTCGTGTCTTTCTTTCTGGAGACAGTGCTGGAGGGAACATTTCACACAATGTCGCTATCAGAGCTAGCAGTGACAAACTTCCTCATGTTAAAATAAAAGGACTGTTGCTGATACATCCTTATTTTGGGAGTCAGGAAAGGACTGAGAAAGAGATGGCTGACGGAGCAGCAAAGGATGTGGAGATGAATGATATGTTCTGGAGACTAAGCATACCAGAAGGATCAAACCGCGATTACTATGGATGCAATTTTGAGATTCAAGATTTGTCTGTAGCTAAATGGAAAGAGTTTCCAGCAGCTGTTGTTTATGTGGCTGGCTTGGATTTCTTGAAAGAGAGAGGAGTTATGTATACATTGTTTTTAGCTAAGCAAGGGGTTAAAGAGGTTGAGCTAGTGGAGGCTGAGGGAGAATCTCATATATTTCATGTGTTTTCTCCTGATTCTGAGGCAACTCGCTTGCTGCAACAACAGATGAGCAAGTTCATTCAGAGCCATTAGAACTGAGATTTGTATTAATGATATAGAAAGTGTGGAATCTGCTGGACTCTATTAATCAGCAGATATGACAATAAATTCTGCATTCAGAGGATTGAAAACAATCTTCTTCATCTTCTTTGATGCTTTAGTTACATAAGCAACATATTAGTGAACTTTGATTTTGAATTTTTTTCCTTCAAAATTCAAAATTTATTTTGGCAGAAACACATATAGTTCCAATATACAACTGCAGGATTTAAGGGCATACACATTCATTTAAGGCTCTGCAACATCTTATAAACACTTCTACTCATCAAAAGTGCTCATAAAACCACCAATAAAGCCAGCTCCATTGCAATTCCCACATAACATATCCTTTTTCCCTCTGCAATATATCTCATAATTAAATTGAATTAACACCAAAGACATCAAGTTAATATATCTCATGACAGGATGTCAGAATTTACCCACAAAGCCAACAGGAGTCACCAGCTTTAAATTGCCCATTAAAAACATCAACAGAGTTCACTCCACTACCTTTACACTGCGAGCACAAAACTGCACCTGCAAATCAGGCAAAAAAAAGAAGAAAGTCAGAAACTTTAAAGCTATACTTTGCATTACCAAATCAAATAAACAGAACCCCATAGTGGTGTACTCACCATTTCCATCACAATCGGCACAGATCACACTTTTTGGCTTTGGGTTTTGATTGCTTGGTGAAGCCTATTGATTACCATTTATAAATTAATAGCTATCAAGCATGAATAATTAAAAAGAAAAATACAGTATTCAATCAACATAGAGAAACAGAATTAACAGTATCTAAGGGAATGGAATCTGACCCTAGTTTTCACAGAGTGACGTCTAGCAGTAGAAGAGCTGTGTAGAAAGTCATGAATCCCAAGAATCTCTTGCTTGCCACAACTGGCTTTGTATGCCCCTATGCATCAAGAGACAGTAGTAAAAAAGAAAAAAAAGTTAGTGGCTAGGGTTGATGAGCTTTTGTATTAAGAGACAGGTACCTGAATCTTGCTTGCCTCTAATTGGTAGTAGCAGTTGTGAACACCAAGCTACAGCCATTGAAAGAGTTCTCTTCAACTTCTGTTCACTGTGTTCAGTGGCTATTTTGCATTGGTTTGCAATCATCTTGATTAGATTCTAATTGGGCTTTTGTATGGTTGTAGGCCTCTGAACCAGTTTTCATGGGTAAGGATTAAGCCCATATATAAATGTCTAATTAATTAGTGATGTGCATTCATGAAAATAATAAATTATGAATTGGCATTTGGAAGTTCAAAATTCAAATGAACCAATTTCATTCTTTTTTTTTTTCTTCTTTTTGGCATATGAGATTTGGAAAATAACAATGAAGATTCTACTTATTTCAAAAATTTTCTCTTCAATTTTTTTTCCTTAGTTAGTTTGGGAGTTGAAGCTTAAAGAATTAAGTTAGTAATTAAAATCAAAGTTTGTTATTTATTATTATTATTATTATTATTATTATTATTATTATTATTATTAATGATTATATTATTATTATTATTAATGATTTTATTAATTATTTTACTATGATTGTAGATGGAAAAAATAGCCTAAAAATATTAGGAGTTTGGTAACAAGTGAAAAAAAAAATCAAGATAAAATTCTAAAAGAAATAAAATGTTACATTTATTTTTTGATTTCTGGAATTTCTTATAATATGATTTTATTAATATTTTACTATGATTGTAGATGGAAAAAATAGCCTAAAATATAGAGTTGGTAACAAGTGAAAAAAAAATCAAGATAAAATTCTAAAAGAAATAAAATTACATTTATTTTGATTTCTGGAATTTCTTATAATCAAATGTCTTTTAATTTTTTGCAATTGAATAATTTATTTTTATTTTTTTCCCTATTTTAGAACAAAAACTAAAGTTTAATTACTTTATAAAATAAAAATATTAAATTAGAAAATTACTTTTGTAATATAAAAATTATATATGTCAATAAAAAATAATTTTATTATTAGTTAAATGAATATTTTTCTGAAAATAATTAAAAAGTGAACGGATGAATCAAAACTGAACCCTAACCCGATATTTTTGCAAGGGCAGATTGCAAACTAATAACAGACAGGAGGGGTATTTAGGGCAAGTGGTTAAAAATGTCGCCTGGTATATTATAGCTTGGCTTCCACTGCGCAGCCCTCTCTCTCCCTCGTCGAGGTCTACGCTTGGGTCTCCTTTTTCTCAAAATCTTTTCCCAATTCTATTAAGCTCGCTAACCGTTTTGCTTTGCAGACTTTCCAAACCCTAATCTTAAAACCCAAATCCACCTTCTCACAGCCTCGCAGGTATACTCATCTCTCCAATTCCTAATTTCATTTTACTTGTTAAATTGTACAACCCTAATTTTTTCTCAATCAATTGATTTTTGTTTCAGAAGATCTAACCATATCTCGTTTGTTTTCGTAAGAAACACTAACGCGATTTTATATAGTTGAAGCTTTAATTTGAGATTTACTTGTTTGTTTATAGAACATGGGAGAAACAAGGGACAACGATGCATACGAGGAGGAGCTTCTCGACTACGAGGAAGAAGAAGAGAAAGCCCCTGATTCTGTTGCTGCCAAAGTCAATGGCGAATCAGCCAAGAAGTGAGTATATTGCTGGAACTATTTTATTTATATTTTGATATGCAAGTTTCTTTTGTTTATCTTCAGATCGGAGAGTAATGATCCCTAGTTCGGGGTACTTAAATTTAGAAAAGTAGGATTATAGAAGCTATGACAGTTAAATCTTACAAATTATATGGTGGGGGATAAATCTGTTAGATTATTGTGCCTTTTTGGAAGATGAAAAGTAGCTGTACTAGTTTTCAATGATTGAGTGATTGTGTTCTTATGCGCGGTTATAGAACTTTTTTTGCTTCACATAATTACTTAACAATTTAGCTTATACATATTCATAATGATTCCTGACTTTTTGTGCGTAGGGGGTATGTCGGAATACACAGTTCGGGATTCAGAGACTTCCTTTTGAAGCCTGAGCTTCTACGGGCAATTGTGGATTCAGGATTTGAGCATCCTTCTGAAGGCAAACCACTTAACTTTTTTCATTTTTCAGTTCATTAGCAGAAAAAAAAAAGTAAAATAGAAGTTAAAGAGAAATAGGTAAATGAAATTTCCATCCAATTGTGTTGATGTGCATGCCTTATACCCTGACCAATTTTCCCCTATGACGTGAAATAAAATTTACTATTGCTTACAAGAAACACTCAAGTGCAGCACCTATTGCATTTGGCTTCGGTGGCATGCTTATGGGCATTTGCTTGGCATATTGAGAGAGTTTTGTTTTAAGAAGCTTGAGGCATATGATGCTGTGACTGTTTGATTGCACACAGATGGATTCTGTGACGTTTGGAATTATTTCAACAAAATGTTTCTAATATTTTGGAGATAGTTTTTTGAAAATGAGGAATCAGAGTTTGTTGAAAAATGAAGACTTTCTAGGGTTTCATGCTTGTCTCATTGGATTTGTTTCAATATTTTTGGTTACATTTACGTGTTCTCATTTTTTGTTCTTTTCTGCAATTCTAAATTATGTTGTCTTTTACTTTCCAGGTAATATACCACTATAACACTCTTGATTTTGGAGCAGTATTCTGGTTTGCTATACCTTTCAATTAAAGGACATGGAGGTTATGTTTTACTTACCAAGGGTTCCTTGGATACAATTTTCTTTGGTTCTTCATCAGTTCAACACGAGTGTATCCCTCAAGCTATCTTGGGCATGGATGTCATCTGCCAAGCCAAATCTGGGATGGGGAAGACTGCTGTTTTTGTTCTGTCTACTCTCCAGCAAATTGAACCTACGACTGGCCAAGTTATTGCTCTTGTTTTATGTCATACTAGGGAGTTGGCTTATCAGGTATCTTCTAGTCCTATAAACTCTCCTACTGATGTATAATATATTTTATCTTTTGTTATCCTTTGTTTTGTTTATTGGATGATTTGTTCCTTAATTTCCTTGTTGTTTCATTTCTTGATAGATCTGTCACGAGTTTGAGAGGTTTAGTACCTATCTGCCTGATACTAAGGTTGCTGTCTTCTATGGTGGTGTCAATATCAAAACTCACAAAGACTTATTGAAAAATGAGTGCCCACATATTGTTGTTGGGACACCTGGAAGAATACTGGCACTAGCGAGAGAGAAGGACCTCTCGTTGAAGAATGTGAGGCATTTTATACTTGATGAATGTGATAAGATGCTTGAATCGCTTGGTGAGTGTTTCTTTTTGGTCCCTGCTTGCCTTTTCCATCCTAGTACCTAGTCTGGGTTCCTATTGTTCATTAATTATCGATATGACACTTGTTGCGTGTCTGCAGATATGAGGAGAGATGTGCAGGAAATCTTCAAGATGACTCCTCATGATAAGCAAGTTATGATGTTTTCTGCAACACTCAGCAAAGAAATCCGCCCAGTTTGCAAGAAATTTATGCAAGATGTAATGTCCTATGGCCAGTTCTACTTCAATTTAAGAAGTCTCTTTTTAATAATGCCAGATATCTGCAAGAGTCATATAGATTCTTAGGTCTTGTTGTCCGCCCACAAGTGGCTTTTCCTGTCTATATAAGGGGATAAAATGGGGTCTGATTGGGTGAGGAATCATAAAGAAACTAAATGTTAAATATTGGAAGGCATCAATGTTGTGCTTGGTGGATAGTTCATGTTTTCCTTTTCTTTTTTTTTTTTTTTTTAATCTGAAGCTTTTTATTTTTCAAGAATTTGGTCTGTATGTGGGTTTGGAGTCCGGGTTATTGGGTGTGAAAAGGAGAGAGAATGAGTTGGAGTGGGAAGAATGCGAAGAGTGGTGGTGGGGCCTGTAACAATGATAGATTATGTTGAGCGGCAGTGGCGCCTGTCTGTCCTAAATGCATTTGCAAGGAGACTATCAGATGGACCAGAATCTCGATTCAAGGGATGTGAATCCATCGTTCATTTCCTTCTGGATTGCATTAGCTTGAGGAAGGCTGCTAACATGATTTACTGTGACATTTGTTCCTTTCAGCCGATGGAAATTTACGTTGATGATGAAGCCAAGTTGACCCTCCATGGTCTTGTACAGGTATATATCTAGATGTTGATACTGTTTTGCTTTACTGCTCCATTGGCATATACTTACCTTACTAATGGAAATGGCAGCACTACATCAAGTTAACTGAGCTGGAGAAAAACAGAAAGTTGAATGATCTTCTCGATGCACTGGACTTCAATCAAGTTGTCATCTTTGTTAAAAGTGTGAACAGAGCAGCTGAGCTGAACAAGTTACTTGTGGAGTGCAATTTTCCCTCGATTTGCATTCACTCTGGGATGTCCCAAGAAGAAAGGTTAACATACTTTTACACAGGCTTCTGTTTATTTAAAGGAATAGGCTGTATTTTAATACTAGTATCGTGCTGCTGTGTTTTTTATGATAAATCCTTGTTTTTTCAGCCTTCATGATCATGCTTGTTTTGAGTCATGGTGATTCTTTCCAATGATAGTATTGGTGCCAGGTTATATGATGTTCTAGATTTTATCTTCACTGTTTTGTTATTGCAACAGGAATTTTATCATTTTTAACCTGTATGTATTTGATGGAAGTTGCTAGGTTTGTTGAAGTGTTTGTTATGCTAGTAGGACCATGATATCTAAGTCTCCTTTATTTTGCATTGGCTTTCTTACTGGTCATAGCTTTTCCTTCTTCATGAGACATCTTATTTGTCCTATAATCCCTATTTTATCTCATGGATGTAAAGAGAATGAGCAGGGTGATTAACTAATAACTGAAAATAAATGATGTTCCATCTGTTTCATTTTGTTCGCATGGTTTGACAAAACACGCATATTAAGAATTTAGTCAATAAAAGTTATTTTGCCCATTTTTATCCTTAACCCATTATGATACTAATAAAAGTCCTTCATTTAATGAATAATCATAAAGGGAAAAATAATTGTTTGCATATCTAAATTTAGAAATTTTGTAAACATTTTGACACATCCAAAAAAAGAATAACAAGCGGGACAGAGAGAGTATATTCTTTGTGTTCTTTTCAAATATTCAAGGACAAGAATAAGTCAATATCTAAATAAGCTATCAATGACATTGAATGCATTTATTAATAAGCAATTTGATGTTTGATTAGGATTTTGTCAATTTATTTTTCTTGAGTTCCATTATCAAAGTAAAATAGCTGTTTTGATTGCTGGTTTGCACTGATTAACATTTACCTCATATATAGTTTGCCTTTCTTTTCTGAATTTTTTGAATTTGCAGTTCCCTCTGTTTTCTTGTTGGGGAAAAAAATGCCCGTAATTTGTTGGTTTATAAATCTTATGGTTTTCTTTTATGCTGGCTTAATGTTGATGGGAGTTGAATTATTTAGCGCCATCATGATTATAGTTTCTAATGCAATTTTCTATCCTCATTTGAATGATTATGTAAGGTGGTATCTTGAGAAGTTGTTGTTGGTATTTGGTTGTCTTGCCTTTGATAATTGCTGCTGGACCTATTGAGGCTATTAGTTTACCTCATTTATTCTTTCTGCATATATTGGATTGAGAAGGTAATGATGTGCAATGAATTTGAAACATTTACCATAATTGGACTTAATTCTTATTCTTAACTTTCTTAGTAACAGTTACCATAATTTTTTTTCCCCCTTTCCTGAGGTCAGGCGTCCAATTAGGCACTTTATCCTTTCTGATGTATTTAGCTGAATGGTTCATTTTTGTAGGTTGACGCGCTACAAAGGATTCAAGGAGGGGCATAAAAGGATTCTTGTTGCTACAGATTTGGTTGGTAGGGGAATTGATATTGAACGGGTCAATATTGTTATCAACTATGACATGCCAGATTCTGCTGACACTTACTTGCACAGAGTAGGTTCAACAACAATTGTTCACTCTATTTCATATTTTTCTCGCTCTGCCACCGTTGAGTTGACTGGAGTCCTTGCTGAATTGACAGGTTGGTAGAGCTGGTAGGTTTGGGACTAAAGGGCTTGCAATTACGTTTGTTTCATCTGCTTCTGACTCTGATGTACTAAATCAGGTATGGAATTTACGTTTTTCTTTTCTTATTATATGTGTGTGTGTGTGTGTGTGTGTGTGTGTGTGTGTGTGTACTGAGTTTCAGCTGTAAATGATGGTATTTTGATTTCAGGTTCAGGAGAGGTTTGAGGTAGACATAAAGGAGCTTCCTGAGCAGATTGATACATCTACGTACAGTAAGTTGTTTTCTTGCAAAAGAATTATTTTGAAAATCATTTTTGGTGTGAAATCTCGTCTTTTTGTGGAAAATAAGTTGACAACACATTTTTTTGCTCAAAAGCTGGCACAACTTCTCATAACCTCTTCTTTAGTGAGAGAAGGGAAGAAAAATTAAAAGCCAGCAGCAGTATGTTCCTGGTTTAACAACTATTCCAGCTAACGGATATGAAGGTTTCATTCCTGATATCCCATCCCTGATAACCAAACGGGTTCTTCAATTGTTAGCTCTGTATTGCATATTGTGTTCATGTCTTACGCTTGAAAGGCGATGAGATGTTTTGTTTCCTTTATGCGTTTTCCTTTCATAAGGATGCTTGATTGTGTCATTGTACGGAAGAGATCGTCTTTGGACTTATTTTTATAATAGTCTTTTATTTGCAAGACTTGGATTATGAGGTGTTTTGCGCCTGATAGCTTCTTCAAATGTTTGTTTTGCAGTGCCATCATAATGAAGGTCAGAACAATTCTTATCGGTGGTAGAGGCCATTTTGATATGTTATTTGTTCAACATACTATTTAGTGCTTATGTTGGTCCTTGGGACACATGCTCCACTTGATGGATTATTGTAGACTTGAAACTCGAGGGGCCCTGCGCATGGGAAATGTAGAAGTAGACTTTACTAGAGTTTCTCGGAAAATTCTAGCCTCAGTTTATGTTGTTGATACCTAATTCAGATTTACTGGTGATGTGGCCATAATAGTTGAGTTGTGCGTAGTTAACTGAGATTGAATTATTTTTATTACGTAATGGGCCATTTGTCATCGCTTGTGATTTTTATTTTTTAGTTCTGACTATTTGGTTAGCCTGTTTGTAAATTACCTGTGTTGGAACTCGTCATGCAGGATGATGATCTTTGTAGTATGCAGTTGTGTTCCTATTTTGCAAGTTCCCAAGTAAAGTTATGTTTTCAAATTGAACTAGAAATGGTGAATGCTAATTTGTAGATATCCTGTTTAATTTTAAACTTCACATGTTGTAAACTTCGACATAACCTTGCTGCTAAGAGTAGTATTTGTCCATAGATCTTTGTGAATGATGTGGAAGTCTTCTACTTGTGTTTAAGCTAATTTTAGGTTCTAGTGGTTCGTTCTAGCCTGGTGAGTTTTGGTTTCTGGCTGGCATGAATTGCTCCTGTACTGGATCCTGTGATATGTAAAAGGTTTGATGTATTGTCTGGCAGCATCCTGACCCTCGAGGTTGTCATGTAAAGTATTTTGGCGAAAAGTTTCTATTATATTACCAAGTTTTGAGTGGGGACAGGGGTTGGATGCTTTTCACAAAGATAACTCAGATCAGTGATAAATTCAAACATCCTTTAATAAAGTCTCAAAAAAAAAAAAAAAAAAAAAATTTAAAAAAAAAAATTTGTGAAGAGCATGAGTTGTTGAGAACTGACAACGTGCTTGTTGTTCCTCTTCGTACTCTCTGCTTTACAAAAGGAGACAGTTCATTAATCTAACACCAGCACTGGACTGAGCAACTCTACCCGCTTCCTCTCCTCTTCTCTCCACTGAAAAAAGGACCAATTAAGCTTAGGGTGGAGACCTAAACTAAACTAATCAAAGAACCACACATGAATGTGTAGAAAAAAACCAAATACTCTATATCTATTAAAATATATGAAAACTTAAACATATTTGCTGAGGTACAGCAAATTTATAACACTTTCCTCCCAAGTTAGAATTTTCTTTTTCAGTTTCTTTTTTTAATGATTAATGAAGTTAAATATATCACTAATGTCATCTAAAAGAATATTATCACAAGTTGTTTTTTAAATTTTGTCCTATTTTTAAATTATATATATATAAAATTAAACATAAATCGAGCAATCAATAAATAGAGATTTAAACCTAAATCGAGCAATAAAAAATAGAGATTTAATATATCAAATTAAATCTAAATCTAGCAATCGATTTATAAAGATTTCATATTCTTTAAGTGCTTTGAAGATATTAGACTAGTAACGGTCTTGTTGATTTCTTTTAAAACTATATATAACTACAAATTCAACCCTTGAATTTAATGGGATTTCACTATTTGTATTATAGAAAAAACAAAAAATGTATTCATCGTCATATCATCCACTACGTACGTCTTAATGAGTTGGTTGTGAAATTGCACAACAGTCTCTTCCTTGGTTTTTTCTTCCCTTTCATTGCTGGAATGTCTTTTGGGATTGAATATGCTCAGAATATAGCAAGCGTGGTAGATTTTGGAGCTATCGGGGATGGCCGAACCGATGACTCTCAAGTAGTACATTGTTACACTCCATTGATTTGTAAAATTTCAATACTGCAATTTACTGTGACAAAAATCTGCTCGTTTCAATCTTTTCAGGCTTTTCTAAAAGCATGGGGAAATGTTTGTGGATCCAATGCAATCCTTCAAGTTCCTCAGAACAAAACATTTTTACTTCAACCTGTCACTTCTATGGGTCCCTGCTGCTCTAACACTGTTCATTTCCAGGTAAAGATGATAACACTTGTTCTATGATGCACGGAAACTTCTAGCTATGTGTATTTCTGCGTTTCAGAAATGTTTCCGCCTGTCCGCTTCCTTTATTCCTCTATCGTTTCCGCATTCCCACGTTCCTCGTTTCCGTTTCGGTGCAACATAGCTTGTGTTTGATACTCTTTTAAGATTGTATCATTAAGTTCTGATATTGTTTTAATCTTTTTTACTAACTTGGTTCTTTCTTGTTCTGAGATAAGATTTTAGGAACTATTGTGTTGCCCAACACTGCTCATTGCTGGCTCTGCTTCTCTGATATTTGGAATCATCGACGGTCGTGGTTCAGTTTGGTGGAATCCACCGACTGAAACCCTCGTTAAAACACGAAGTACCAATCCATGCAAATATATTGTCTTGAATTGACTAATCATAAAATTGATCCATCTGAAAATGTTTATTTTCACTTCAGGACGCTGAAAATCTAAGCAACCAACCCACTGTAAGTGAAATTAGCCATAGTTAGACTGTTAATTACATTTTTTTAAGTGATTAATATATAATCATTGCAGGCTTTGCACCTCCACAACTGTAATAATCTTCAATTAAGACATGGCGGTATGGTATATATACAAATTTAATAACAGGAATCAAGAAAAGCTTGAGTTGTTATGTTGTTTTCAAATATTATTATTATTTTTTTTACATTTTGTCTTCGTTTTTTTTTTTTCCAGGGAGGTTCAAGGAAATCACAGTTAAAGCATAAAAAATCCTATAGTAATTGACCAACATTACCAACCTGATGAAGCAAATGGAATTGACAATGTAAAATTATTAAATTATTATTCAAGTTATTTGGCTAATTATAAAGTTTAAGTAATTTTTATTTAATTTTATGCGGGAAGAAGCCGTTGCAATTAATTGCAATTAATGATACGACATACAAAAATTTTGAAAGAACTAACGACATACAAAAATTTTGAAAGAACTAGTGCGAGTGATTTAGACGTTACATTTGATTGTAACAGTAGGAGAGGTTGTACAAATATTACCTTGAACCAAATTAACATGACTTCCTCACATCCTGGAAAGAGACTTCGTGCTTCTTGCAACAATGCCCATGTAATGGTTTTTTTTAGTTCGTTTAATATATCTTGCCCAGCATCAGATTTTTAACATTTCTTTTTTTTTTTTTAAAAGAGCTTTTTTGTAAAGCTTGGATATTCCTTAATATCTCTCATAAAATGAATTACGGCAATAAATTTTGATTATGAAAAAATAATCTCTTTTATTATTATTATTATTATTATTATTATTATTATTATATAAAAAAAGGAATTTATTCATAGTAACAGATGAATAAAACGTGTCTTGCATGCATATAAAGCATAGCCAATAAGCTATATTTAATTTAATTCATTATCATCTATAAATTAATACTTATCTACGTTCAATGAATGGATGCACTTCTCGAAAAAAAAAAAAAAGAGCTTTTACTATTTTTAGTTATTTATTAAAAAAAATTAAAATAGTAATAATTTATATGGCTTGATGCATGAAACTATCCTGATATCATGTGTAGATAAATTTAATTCTATTTTCATATATTCAGGGATTTTCTTTTTTTAAACAAGTGATGTTTTATGATTTCAATACTTTATTAAATATTTTGTTTTCTAATTTATCACTAATAATATATCAATAATATATGTTAAACTTAAATTCTATTTTAAATTTAATATATTTATTATTATTTTTCTTAGTCCGTCAGCAAAAACTTTAAACGGCTATATTAATCAAAATCAATAGTTTGACTAACCGTCAGTCCTTAATACTCCAACACCATATAATCTTGTCTTAACATTGGAGTGCTGAATAATATCTAGGGTGGGTCCTGCTAATTAGGTTGGATTTTTTTGTTAGTGTTTAATAGCTGTTTTTTTTTTTTTTTTTTTTTTTTTTACAATATATATATATATTAGGAACAAAATGCATATTTAGTGAAAAATCTTTTTACTCAGCCTTTCAGTAATGGCATTGGAAAGTTATAAAAATTTCGGAAAATTAATAAACAAGTTAAATGAAAACAACTTGACTTACTTTATTATTTTTTTGGTAACACAACTTGACTTACTTTAACAGTAAAATGTAGAGTTATAAAAATTTGAAAAAAATAACATATTAATATAATAATAATAAAAAAAGATTATGGCAGAAAAATAAAGGGAAGATACCAAACAAGGCAAGTCCACAACAACAACAATTGTATTACTTGTCATTTTGTACCTCTCTGGAAGTCACCACAGTAAGAAAACCTAATTTCTGAACTAATAATAATCAGAAGACTCCTTATGTGTCCTAAAGTTTCTGTGTTGCTTACTCTGGACTCTGCACCTTAATTACCTTTCCTCCTAATGTTGTCTATATATGTACCTTTGACTTTTTCTTTTTAATTTTGTTTTAAATCCAAGTTTTAAATATTATTAGCTCTAAAACTTCTTATTTCATAATTAAAATTTCTTATGCTTGTTAATCAACACTAATCACTATCACAATATACTTAATTTTGTATATTTAATAATAAATTTTCGGGATTTCAGCTTATATAATTCTAGATATTTTCTTAATTAACAAAGCTGAACAACGAAAAATGAGTTATTTTCCAAAAACGAATAGAGAGTATAAAAATATTGCACTCTGGTTCCAACATGAAACCTATGCAATTGAAATTTCAAGGCTATATATAATATATATATATATATATATTTATATATATTATATATATTTTATGCAGCTTTCTTCAGTTTCTCACTCTGTTGTGTTTTCTTTACTGAGTTACATTCCCTTTTCCACAACAGACACTCTATTTCTCTAATATATATATGCAGCTTCTTAGTTCTCACTGCTGTTTCTTACTAGCTATACATTCCCTTTTCCACACAGACACTCTATTTTCTCTAAAAATAACTGGTAAATAATGGCCTCAATCACTCTAGAGGAGCTTCACACCTACCATGCCATTGATAGAGAGATATTTTCTCGACTGGTAGTAACATTGATGCGAGATCCAGCTGAATCTCTACTGGTCATGGCAACATGGCTATGGCTAGAAGAGAAAGGTTACCCAAACATGATACTCAAAATGATAAAGCTATCTGATCAATTGGTGAATGCTCTAGCTGATGAGGCAGCTTTATGTCTTAAATGTTTAGAATCTAATTCTCTTCCCGTTAATGGCAGTATCGCCATTACCATACCTCTAACTGCTAGAGTTATGGAAAGAAACATTTCTTTAGAAATGTTTTACCAAAACAAATTCTCTGCAATTAGTGGGATTAAAAATTTTCTCAACACTGTTTGTTCTCGTATTTTTACAGATATCTTACAATGTGTATTAGCTAGTGGATCATCAACACAAGCAGTAAACCCTAATCAGCAACAGCAAGCTCTTGTTATTCCAGGTTTTCCTCATCCATTGTTTGGTGGTGTTAATATAATGCCAAGGTCTATCGATTTTGATTTTCCTACAGGAGGGCTATGGGGATGGGATCCTGTAAATAACGTTTCTGAAGATGATAGAACTATGTTTCTTACTTTTTCTAGGGGTTTTCCTGTGACTAAAGAAGAAGTTACTCAGCTTTTTACAAGGTTACATGGGGATTGTGTTGTTAGTGTTCAGATGCAGGAAAATGTTCCTTCTAATGAGCAACCTTTGTTTGCTAGAATGATTTTGGATTCTATTGCCAGTGTTGATAGAATCCTCAACGGTAGACGCATAGCTAAGTTTCGCATCAACGGGAAGCACATTTGGGCTCGCAAATATGAACGTAGAGATTAATTATTACTGGAAATTTTGAATTCACAACTTTATATATATAGTATCACAGATAGTGTAATAAGTTTGTCTAAAATTTCATATATATATATATATATTTGTATAAGCTTGTTGTATAGACCCCTTTGTTGTTATAATAAAAATAAAATCATTTTCTTTTATATATGCATAGATCCACCGTAATTTCAGACGAATATTCTCATATAGATATATCATAGATCGAACTAATTTTATGACAATTAAATACGCTAAATAATTATCTATTTATTTAAACTATATAAATTAAGCCGTGATGGTTGTAAAAAGTGGATACTTGTCGTTAATGGCTTAAATCTTTTCTTCCTATTTCTTAGTTTGTAAACATACGAACAGCCTAAAGAGATTGTACAATGTTATATATGTCACTATCAAATAATTATAAAAATTATAATTAAATGAGCCGAGCTCGATTTTGATTCAAACAAGCAGCATTTTTACCTCTAATCACTCGTGTTAATAAATAGATGGCTTTGATTAGAAATACATAAAGTGTAATTTTTTTTCTAAAAAAAATCAATATATTAATCGTCACATTAATTGGAAAAATCAAGTAGGAAACTTTAACACCAATTCTTAAAACCTGAATTGCTGAATTTTGTGGGTTGGCTAACCAGGCCATAATAGGTGCAAAAAAATAAAAAGTAAAAAATTGCGTTTGCCGGGAGTCGAACCCGGGTCTATTGCTTGGAAGGCAATTATCCTAACCGTTGGACTACAAATGCCTGTTGATTTCCAGCCCCCACCACATAATTTTGAAAATAATGCTAACAGAGAGGCGTTGAAACAGACAAAGCCACCGGCTTTGTGACGATATAGTACTAGAAAATGATGGCCAAAATCCCATTTTACTCCAAATGGACGACCATAAACTGCTTTTCTTCAGGAATTGTAGTTGTTGGCTTCTTCCACATCAGCATCAACTTCACCATCCAATTTTTCAATACTTAAACATCTATTTCATTTTTTTTAACAGCATGCTGGTTTTTTTATTGTTTGATTCTTGAAAATTCTGAAATTTAAACTTGTTCTCGAGCTAATGAAGCAAATTTGACTTCTGGTGGGAAAATGTGTTGTTTAGATTTTAAAAGTAGGAATCTTTTGGTGGGTTTTGTGGGTTTGATCTCATTTTCGTACTGTTCCTATAGTTTTCATGTCTCTCCAATGCCATGTAATAAGTCATTAATCCAATCATGTCCTGCTTCATTCTATTATGTTCCAGACACCATTAGTAGCCCTCAAGAAACAGCTTCTTTGTTTCATGTGAACGATACTGCAGTTAATAGGACTGTTGACGGTTTCTTGATCAGGGTAATTTGCAGCTGCCAAACTGGGTATAATGACTTCACTTGGCGCATGGACTACTTGGTCCAGCCTGGGGATTCATGGAAGAGAATTTCGTTGCAATTTGGTTCATTTGCGGTGGAAAAAACTCAAAATAAATTGATTGCAGAACGAATTATAACTCTTGATTTTCTATGTGGTTGTTCTGAAAATGCATATTTGCTTAGCTACAGGGTTAAAATGGGAGATACACTGTTTGCAATTTGTTCTCGGTTTAAATCTGATTTAAAGAAGACTATCAGCTTGAATGGGCTGGAAAATCCAGACCTCATCCATGATGGTGATATTCTATTTATACCAGAACCAGGTAACAAAGGCAATGCAATATGTGTATATTTTTTAATAATAATGCATATTACTTACACCTGTTTTCTTCAATCACTAATGATTTCTCTTCTGTCTTGCATTGGCATTTACAGTGGGGGGCCTTCAAAACCTTACCATACTTGAAGTGGACAGTAAAGGTCGGATGAAACTTCTAACCTGTGCAATTAAGCTTATATATAGTCTTTTTTGTGTCTTTCATATATGTTTCTTGGTCGTTCATTTCAGATCCAGATAGTTGAATAGAACTGCCTCATTACATGCTTCTATATCAAAAAATAAGCTTCTGTTTCTTTTCTTGTGTTCTTGTTCTACTATGTTAATATATTTGGCATTCACTTTTTCCTTCCTTGCAGATGCAGAAGCCAAAAAAGCGCCAAAATCTCGAATTCATATTTTGGTTGCAGGCATATCTGCTGCTGCTATTATCATACTGCTAGCAGTCGTCCTTGTATCCTGGAAAAGATTTAGGGGGAAAAGAGCACAACAATCGAAAGCTCTTCCGCAGAGAACAGATTGCTTGGACTGTAATCAGGATGCATGCCCTTGTCCTGGAAGTAATATAGCTTGATATTAACTATTCTGAAATTTAAGGATTGGTTATTTTTTTTCCCTTTTCCCTCAGATTAATGTATTTGAGCCACATAAGAGACTAGCTACAGTGATTCATGATCCATTTGTTTCAGAATCTGAAAAAAGCACAGCTTCCTCATTGAACTCAGATAAAGCTACTGTTTTCCCTTACAATGAAATTCTTGATGCAACTTCCAACTTCAGTGTAACTTTAAAGGTTGGCCAAGGATCATATGGATCAGTTTACCATGGAAAATTAAGAGGAATGGTAAGTATTAAGTGCTTCATTAAATCAGTTCCCTGAAGTATGTGCAACAACTATTCACTTATATAGGAACATTTTCACTCCTTAATAGCCTTTTTTTTTTACATATGCATGCAGGATGTTGCCATCAAGCAGATGAAAGATACAAAGTCAAAGGAGTTCTTGTCAGAGCTAAACATTCTCTGCAGAGTTCATCACACAAATTTGGTATACATTGTCTTTGTTTGTCTGTTGAATGTTTACTTTCCTTTAAATAATGCCTTTAACTTTGTTGCTAGATTTACTGTTAGTACACTCTTTTTCATGCATGCTCCCTTTACTTTTTAGTTTTTCCTTTAGATGGGCTTTTTCATTTTTTTTTTTTTTTTTAATCAGATTGAGCTTATCGGATATGCTGCTGGTGGAGACTCATTGTTTTTAATATATGAATTTGCCCAAAATGGTGCATTGAGTGATCATCTACATATCCCCACTTCAAGAGGTTTGGACCTACCAGTTAATCAATTGTTTCAATATTTCAAAAGATGTTTTTATGTTGTTTTAATATAATCTCTAATAAATTTGAACTTCGGTTGGGAATGTAGCCGAAGCTGCTTCTTGACAATGGGAAAAACTTAGTGGAAATGGTCTGTGTCAATATTATTGTGATGAAGACATTGAATTGAACTGTGTAATTGTCACTTTTTAGATTGTTTATCATATTTTATGCTAACTCTGTTGCATAGCTTAGAATAGAATGATTTGAACGGTATCCTTTATTTTTATTCAGTGATTGTAATTGAGCAGAAAAAACGTGTAAACTGTTCATTTTTACAGAGTGTACATGGCAGGGATTCATGATAATTCTGATGTCTTACTGGTTACCTGTCAACCTTTGATGGATCTACAGGTCATAACCCTCTTTCTTGGATTACCCGCGTCCAGATTGCTCTTGATGCCGCTAAAGGGCTTGAGTATATACATGAACACACAAAACCATATTATGTCCATCGAGATGTGAAAACAAGCAATATTCTTTTAAATTCCAATTTTCGAGCAAAGGTGAGCATCAATTTCTTTAGTAAACATAAGACTCTTCCAAATTTAGTGGATCTTTGTCTTGTCCAAATAATTCCAACCACAGCATGTTTGTTTTCCATCATAGGAAAACCAATAATGTTTTGAATTTCTGTCCCACAGATCGCAGATTTTGGACTGGTAAAGTTGCTAGAGCATTCTTCGGATATACGAGCAGCAGCATCTAGAATTGTTGGCACATTTGGTTATCTCGCACCTGAGTGTGTACTTAATTAAATTCATACTGTTGATCATATATAGCTTGATTAGCAACATGTGTAAGACCCTTTTGGTTTCCTGACTTTTTTGTGAAAATAGGTATGTTCGAGATGGATTTGTGACCACAAAGAGTGATGTCTATTCATTTGGAGTTGTTCTTATGGAACTACTTACTGGCCAACCGGCAATAAGTAAGGATGCAAGTCATGGAAGTGTTGAACACAACGAACATCGTTCTTTAGTGCAATATGTGAGTATGCGCCATCTACTAAACCATAGCTACCTTCTACTTCTGTTGATTATCATTTCTGTATTCTAAACATGAATTCTGCCAACAGTCTAATTGATAAGTATTAGGAGTTATTGATTTTGTTGCTAGTTTATACCAGTTTATTAAGTTCACAAATCCCATATGATCCAGATGCTGTCATCATTAAATGATACCAAGGATCCTTTTACCCAGATAGAGAAATGCATTGACCCAAATCTGACTTGCTTCCACCAAGATTCACTCTGCCAGGTATTGTTTGAACTTTCACCCGTTTCATGAATTCTGAAGTTAAATTTGTTCTTTTTGTTGAAATTTAACCAAAACAACGTCCATCTTTTCTTTTGACTTGAGTTTTGTTTCTTCGACTATCCAAGATGGCTCTCTTGTCCAAAGACTGTGTTGATGATAATTGGAACCGACGTCCTGATATGAGTATAGTTGTGCTACGCCTTTCACACATCCTGTTGGACTCCAGAGCTTGGGATGAACAGCAAAACAAGCATCTCACGGGCTAAAGTTATGCCAACCATAGTTCATAAATGAAGGTACTCAACTGTAGTTTTTAAATGCTTTTGGAATTCCTGTTAAACTGAAATTATTTCATTAGAAAGCTTTTACAGCAATCATGTATGTGTTTAGTAAATGATGAAGTATGACATTTGAAAATTAGTTTGGTATTAATAGCATATAAAGAGAGGGTAATCTTCTTTGAATTTTCTTGAAAATTTGTTACAGTAATAAGGTTTTTGTATCTCACTTCTACCATATATTGTTGAAATATTTTTAGATTCGGACATACCTATCTAATCTGATTCGAAGCTTAGTTATAATTAAAACTCTTTGCCCATTTCTACATGTGTGTTTAGTGGTTATCGAAAACGAAAGTTCTTCCCATATACTCAGCCTGTATTGCCAAAGGAGCCAATACGTATGTTAGGATATAATTTTTTAATAAAAGCAAATGATAAAATGATTGAGTTTATTAAAAAACGTTAACATCTCATTATTGTAATGGGATATGAAGGCCGAATATGCCTTTTTCAGAAGACAAAAAATGAGAAAAATATGAGAGGAAGAGACACAATGGGAGACTTATGATCATGAACGAACCAAACAGGACACTTTACAAGTTAAGACCTCATTATCATGTCCAAAAGGAGTGAATGCAAGAAAGACCTTTGAGCTCCTCTCCAAACCACATTCATGGATGTCTCTATTAATGCGTGGCACCTAACACATCAAATATTAAGAAAAAGTTAAATTAAAAAAATTTCAATAATAGTTATTTCGAAATGGAAAGGAAAAACACAATCAACACGATCAAATATAGAGAAGTTATATATAAAAAAAAAAAAAAAAAAATAACTTAAAAAAATTTCAATAATAGTTTTAATTCGAAATGGAAAGGAAAACACAATCAACACGATCAAATATAGAGAAGTTATATATAAAAAAAAAAAAAAAAAAAAAAAAAAAAATTCAAGGGAATCCACTGAATTTTCAATACAAGTTTTAATTCAGAGAAATACGTAGATTTCGTATGTTAATGTAATATTGAAAATACACACGTTTGTATATAAAATCTTATATAAAAGAATTTCATGAAATTTTTATTACATTTATTTATAATTTTATATTTTCATATATGATATAAATTAAAAAAATAAAACTAATTAGCCCTACAATTTGTTTTAAATGTAAAAAATTGAACTGATCAATTTGGAAAAATAGTCCAAAATTTTGGTATGCAATGCATGAACCCATGAAGTCTCCACCTCTGAAGTCTTTATCTACTACAAGTCAGTATGAGGTGCATAATAAAAGAATGCAAAGCACCATTGACTAATTCCATATGTAGAGACTAAAAAGCTAGATAATGAAGAAGACATATAAATATAATATAATATACCTAAAATGTCCTTTATTTAGATTAGGTAGTTTTGGTGGAATATTTTCTTGCTAATCCTTTTTGTTTTTTTTTCCTTCTTTGTCTCTTTATATGTCTACCATTTTTATTTTCAAATCCTTTTAAAGCCGCCCCCATAACTAATTTCTACTTAATAATAATAAATTTATATCATTTCATATAATATTACAAAATTATCCAATGAGACTCACTCTTTTTCTTTTTTTGATTAATATATTTTTAGAATTAATAATTATTTCGTATTTAATATTAAATTCCAAGATAGGTCAAATTTTAATTGGGTGGAATAAGCCTCAATCAATCTCTTACTCGAACCCATTTTTAATGGATAGGGCCGGGCCATATCGAGCCCATTAGGAGGTCCATATATATATATATATTTTTTTTTCTTTAATAAAAGGAAGCAAAGTGAGTGAGGAAATTTAAATAGGCGCGCGCGTCACGCAGAGAAAATGGTCAACACCCGAAAAGGTGCAAACCCCACGTGAGGTGAGGAATCTTACATATACATATGAAGTGGCGTTTTAGGAATTGCATTCACTTTTAGTAATCTAGCATGAGGAGACTCGGACTTCAAACGCCCATTTCATTTCAGTTTTCCTTTTTCCTTTGCCATATGTTTTTCTTTTCTAAACTATAAAAGTGAGAATTGCCCTGGAGAGGAACACGTCCGCCACTTCAATATTAAAATTATTAAAAAATATTTACGTTAAAAATATTAAAAATTTATTAAATACTATATTTTTAATGATCAAAATTATTTTAAACAATATTTTTAAAAAAAAATTATAATATTATATTTTTTTAGAAAAGAAAGAATTTCAATTTTCAGCTGGCAATAATGTGGAATTTGGACAAGTCAATAAGGACCAAGTAACAAATTACCAATTAATGAGAAGGAATATAAAGTCCTACCATTAACCCAATTAACATCACCACATTCAGATCACAATTTCTAGCCTCCAAAAATTGCTTTATTACAAGCAAATAAATGCATTGCCATATAAAATTAAAAGAAAAACAAATTATTTAATAATTAACAAAAAAAAAAAGACAAAAAGGGTAAAATTTTAATTATAAAATCTCCATGAATCCCACGTAAATAACTAAAGAAAATAAATTAATAATTAAAATCAATTATAATTCTCAAAATTAGTATGTTACAAAAGCTTGATCTGCCATTATTTATTTATATTTTATTTTTTCTTCAACGAGAACGCTAAAAAAAAAACATACCTAATCCCTGTATAACAAAAGTGGAATCTGATCTCTATTTTATTAATATAATATTTTATTTATTAATAATAATAAAATAAATATAATATTAATGCCATAGGAAAATGAAGCTCTTGCTTGGTTATGAAAAAATAATTTTATCTCCAACGGGGTTATCCACGTCAGCTTTTCATTTTATTGGTTATGAAAAAATAATGTTTATCTCCAACGGGGTTACTTGCAATTAACCTCAAATCCATGAATGGAGCCAAAGTAATTAATTCCTATAATTTCCCATTTGTTTGGGTAATACACAAAATTTAAGATTACGCAAACTTTTTGAAGAGCCCAAGCCCAAAATAGCCTAAAGTCCACTCAAAGAACGCCACTCCTCCCCTGCATTTAACCAGTGTCTCCCATTTGTCCTATACCAAACCCTCTCTTCTTCTTGTTTATTTCTCTCCTCTCCACATCATTCACGCCCGAAAATTTTCAAATCTATTGTTTCTCTTTAGCCACCACAAGCACCACCGCTTCTCCTCCTTGCTCAGCTCATCCACCCCTCCTTCCTTCCCCTCCCCTCTCAATCAACCGCAATGGGCAAGGGTGGATCTCTCAGCGATAGTGTTTTGAAGAAGATCCTTCTCTCATACACATATGTGGCCATCTGGATCTTCCTCTCCTTCACTGTCATTGTTTACAACAAGTACATCCTTGACAAGAAGATGTATAATTGGCCTTTTCCCATCTCTCTTACCATGATCCATATGTCCTTCTGTGCTACTCTCGCTTTCCTTCTTATCAAAGTCTTCAAATTTGTCGAACCCGTTACCATGTCTCGGGATCTTTACTTCTCTTCCGTCGTTCCCATCGGCGCTCTCTATTCTCTCAGCCTCTGGCTTTCCAATTCTGCCTACATCTATTTGTCGGTGTCCTTTATTCAGATGCTCAAGGCGTTGATGCCAGTCGCTGTTTATTCGATCGGGGTTATGTTTAAAAGAGAGAGCTTCAAAACTGATACCATGGTCAACATGTTGTCGATCTCGCTCGGTGTGGGTATTGCAGCTTATGGGGAAGCCAGATTTGATACCTGGGGTGTAATTCTCCAATTGGGTGCTGTTGCATTCGAGGCAACTAGACTGGTATTGATTCAAATCTTGCTTAACTCTAGAGGGATCACGCTTAATCCTATTACTTCCCTTTATTATGTTGCTCCTTGCTGTTTGGTTTTCTTGTTTGTGCCTTGGATTTTCGTCGAATACCCAGTTTTGAAGGAGACTTCGAGTTTTCATTTTGATTTTGCCATTTTCGGCACCAATTCTCTCTGTGCTTTTGCCTTGAATCTTGCCGTGTTTTTGCTTGTGGGAAAGACTTCAGCTTTGACGATGAATGTGGCTGGTGTGGTCAAGGATTGGCTGTTAATTGCCTTCTCTTGGTCTGTCATTAAGGACACAGTGACACCAATTAACTTGTTTGGCTATGGGCTTGCGTTTTTGGGTGTTGCATATTACAACCATGCCAAATTGCAGGCAATGAAGGCTAAGGAGGCTCAAAAGAAGGCCCAGCAAGCCGATGAGGAGGCTGGAAGATTGTTGGAGGAGAGGGAAGGAGAAGGAACTGGCAAGAGAAATGAATCACAAACCTAATATTTAATTAAAGAGAGATAAATTTAGTTATAAAATGGATGGAGAGTACTGGAAATAAGAGCAAAATGGAGACAAGGTGATACCAGGGTTGGTTGGGGGCAAAAAGGAATGAAGGGTGTCTCGTTTTACTTTTGCTCACTCGGTAATGTTGTTTTATAGGTTTATGTTTGTTATGCTAATTATGAATGTTAGTAGGAATGTCAGGGATTTGAAATTCCTTTCACAAATGTCCTGTATTTTCTTTTTTTTTTTTTTTTTTAATTTTTGATATTTATTTCATCCCATCTTTATGTAGGAACCTCTGTTATTAATGGAGATTTAGTCCTTATTTATTCATATATTTTTCTTTATTACTCAAACAGATCTTTCACATTGTTATTGCCAAAGTTGCTACATTTATATCGTAGGTGTTTTCTGCCATTCTGCATGCTTTATTTCTATTTAGTAAATACTTGATGGATTTATTAGCCATGTTCTGCATGAGTAAAATGCACCATTCAAATGTGGTCTGAAAGGGGAATATGTTAGAGAACAAAAACAATGAATTGATCGGAGGTGAATTGGAGATAATCCGTGCACATTATTTCTGGCTATTTATGTTGTGCATATTTATGAAAATCTAGCTATTTCAACCCTGCCTCCAAACTTATACTGCATGCATGTATGCACTCAACTGACCCATCCATTTCTTGTAGATTATAATTTTAGTTATGGTTTCTGGTCATGACTTATATTATTGAAGCCCAGAAGCTCTTCTAACTCATAACAATCTCTTGTCCAGTATTAAATCCGATTATCATATTATTGCTCTCTGTGGCAATTAGGTATATCCCCATTTCTATACTTAGTTAACAAACCATAATTTAGCATGGCGAAGAAGAGTAGAGGAGATCCTCCCCTGTTTTTCATATTTTTCCCTTCTCTGTTCAATAGCAAATACAACGGATGCTGCTCATGAATGGTATGATTTTTCAGAAATGGTTTCATTTTTGCCTTTTCTTGTTTCTCATGATCCGTTCTAAGAGGACGAGAGGATGGCACAAGCTATACTTTTTCAAAGTCACTCATAAGATTGACCCATCGCTTTCCACTAGTCTGTTTCTCTTTACTTTTGGAAAAAAGTTTGTAAACGTGTAATGATTTCGTGTTTCAAAAGTATGCCGTGTGATAGGCTTAAGTGCTTAAAGTCTCTAATCTTTATAATTTGCACCTTAAGTAAGATGTAATTACAAGAAATCTTAAAGTTTTGAGGTAAAAATATTTATTTGGTTTAAACATTGTGATTGGCCTGGTGTTATCATTTGTATTTCTACATCTTCCTAACTTCTTGTTAAATCTACTTACTACCGTTAATAAATCCAATCTCTAAGATAATAGCATTTGAGATAAAGTATTTGTTTCTGATATCCCAATGCTACCATAATTAGTTTGTCTGTCAAGTATCTCCTGCAAGAGAGAGGAAACAAAGACGCGTTTTTTTGCATTTTCTAGGAAGCCAAAAGTTTTCAAATTGTCCATTCGTTGGTGAAATACAGACAAATTGGTCAATTTATTGTTTACCAACAAAGCACAAGATTGCTAGGCCAGCCTAACCGGCTTTTGCCGGATCTCTTAATGCCTTAATGGGCTGTTGCAAGTAGGGTTCAGTTGTGATCCGGTTCATCTTTTAGTGCCAATAGGGTATTAGCCTAACGGCTAAAGCTAAGATCGTTGAAAGGACTTCAAGTTCGAGTCTTTTTCATATTGGCTATCTATAATAAATTTAAAGGAGAGAGCTATTCTTGCAGGCCTATTCCGATCATAGAACTCAAAAGATTGGAAAATAGCCCGCAAATTACTCTAGTTTTCGTTATATTTAATTCAGCTACAAGTAAACTGTCGGAAAAATGATTCTCTCGTTTAAGGTTTTCGTTAATTAGTGAACCAAGAAATAGCAAGTTTAAGTGCGTGAAGAAGTTGAAAGATGGCTCCAGAAAAAGCATGACTTGATCAAACAACTTGTTGAATCAAGCTCCATTTCATTCTCTAATTGTTCTGCGCTAGTACATAGATTAATGAAAAAAAGAAGTATAATTATGGCTGCCTAAATGATTTATGCAGGCCATCACACTAATTCTATGTTACTAACAGGAAATACCCACGCCTCATTTTACATTCTTGCACTCGATGATTGATCATCCGCTATCTTGAGATGACAGAATGGATCAAAAGACTCAAAATTTATGATTCATGAGATTCTGCATCAACACATCAAGAAACTGCTCACAGTTTATCACCAGAAATCTCTGCATGAGCACAGTCCATTATTAAAATGGTGAAACCTATTCCGGTCTCTCATTATTATTTCTCGATTGTATATCTCAGAGATGAACTTGGTAGCAGAGTGACAATCAGTACAAACTCGCAAATTCTTCACAATCCTAATGGGAGTTCCAGGTGGGGTATTCAGAAGGGCAAAAGCAATAGCCAGCTTTTCACTATGTGTATTCAAACTGTCTTCTTTATCTTCATTGTCAATATCAAGCAAAACCTCCGATGTAGTTGGGACAAATCCGGCCTGCTTCATCTTTCTTTGCATCTCATCCACCATCTCATATATTTCCTTGTACTGGTTATGAGATTTATCTCCAGCCACGAATTCATAAATTTCATTACCTAACTCAATCATAGTGCTGCCAGGAATCTTCCTTATTCCCTTCCTGTCCATCATCTCCCTTATCATCATTTTCTTTTCCCAATTGAGCATTTTGGCATAAATGTTGGACAGAAGTACATAGTTGGATTCATGCATGGGCTCATTCCCAATAAGCTGTCTGGAGAATTTTTCTCCAAGCTTTAGTTCACCATGGGCACGGCAAGCGTTAATCAGAATTCGCCAAATAACAGGATTGGGCTCAATGGCCATTTCCTGGACAAATTTCAATGCCTTCTTAATTTGTCCTGCTCTGCACAACATATCTACCATACATCCATAGTGTTCAATTTTAGGTATGATACCAAAATTTGTTTTCATATTATCAAAATAGTCTCTCCCCTTATCAACTAACCCAGAGTGACTGCAAGCAGAGAGCAATCCAATAAAGGAAACATCGTCTGGGGCCACCCCACTTCGTATCATCTCCTCAAACAGTTCAACAGCCTCTACACCACGGCCATGCATCGCCAAGCCAACAATTACAGAGGTCCAGGAAACAATGGTTCTATGTTTCATGTTCTTAAACAATTTGATAGCTTTATCAACATCACCACACTTAGCAAACATGTCAATCAGTGCATTAGAAAGCTCAACTGTCTTTTGAACCTTTTCTTTCTCGATATAGGACTCTACCCACTTCCCTAGCTCAAGAGCACCTAAATCTGTACAGGCAGACAGAACAGAGACCATAGTAATCTCATCAGGACAAATACCCGCTATCTGCATTTGCCTAAACAAATCAATTGCATCACTGGACCTCCCAAAACGGGCATACCCACCAATAATTGCACTCCATGAAACAGAGTCCAGTTTTGACATTTCATCAAACACCTTGCGTGCAAACTCAGTACCTTCTTTGCCGCAACAATACATATGCACCATTGTATTTTGCACATGCACATCATCGGCAAATCCGAATTTCAACACTGATCCATGAACCGACTTGCCCAATTTCAAGTTCCCAATACCCGCACAGGCCTTGAGGACAAAAGGGTACGTGAATTTATTAGGCAAAATATTATATTTAAGCATCAAATTATACATAAATATAGCTATAACCTTCGAATTATTAGTTTGGGCATAAGCTCTTATGATGGTGTTGAAGAGAAACGTATCATATAAACCGGTATCTGATTCCGGTGAGAATAGGAAAGAGGAAGCATAATCAATGGCGTGGAGATCAGAGGATGTGGCTGTAAGTTTGGTGAGGACAAGAGGATTGTTTTGGAGACCCGATTTGAGAATGTAGGTATGGACTTGAGTAAGCTTTGACAATGAGTTGCAGTCTTGAAGGAGGGCAAGGCATTTCTGCTCTGCTGCTCTTCTGTTACCAGTGCAATGGATTGTGGATGCGAGTGTTATAGTAGATGCAATTACTGTGCAGAGCCGCTTGGTTTGGTTGGTTGCGAATTGCATTTAGAAACCGTTTAACAGAGAGGGAATCGAAGCTCATTAGCGCGAAAGCGGCTTTAACGGTTTAAAACGGTTTTGCTGAAGAATTAAAAAGAATGAATAAAGAACCAGGAAAAGTGCACTACCTTCATCTGGCGGTTAATTTTTTGTCCACGTCATCTATTTTGTACGACGACGTGGCTCATCCATTTAGATCCACATCACCTTAATTTTTCACCTTCTCGCCCAAAAGAGAAATTTTACTAGAAGAGAGTCAAACAAATCACTGGCACTTGCCGCTGCTGCAGTTTCTGATTTCCAGAAATCTTGCGATTGGTGATAGAGAAAAAAAAAAAAACGAGAATCTAAACAGAGAATGAAGAGAGTATACTCAATTTGTTCGCTCAAATATTTAGGGTTTGTGAAACGAAGAGTAATCTATAATAAGTTTGAAATCAATGTCTATCGCTTTTACTCCGATGATCCTTCCCATTTTTCCTCCACAAAACCTCCAGGTCCTCTCTCTCTGACTCGTTCTCTTTGCATCACTGCATGATTCGCGTATCTGTATATAATTTTGTTTGATTTCTTCCTCGTAATTATGTGTCTGCATTGGATTGCATTATGCTCAGTTTACATTGTTTATCCTACAATTTGATTGCTTTTAAATCATGAGTTGGAAAATATTATTTCAGGGCCACTTGCGCGCTACAAAAATTTGGTTGATCAAGGAAAACTGAGGCATGATCCCTACCAGGAAAGGATTGCTTTTGAATTAGAAAAATTGCTTGGAAGATTGGAACAGTACGAGAAGGATATGGAGGAGTATCATGTATGATTTTGTTCTTTTTTCGGTTATATTGTATGTTGTACGTCGTATGTGTAATGTTCTGCAGTAATTTGATTGTTGTGCAAGAGGTTTTTTTGTCTTTCTCCATGTCTTTTGTAGTTGAACCTAGCTAACTGGGAGAAGAAGAGGGAGAATGAGCGGCTCAAGCTTTTGATGGAGGAAGCTGAGCAGAAGCAGCAGCAGGGGGGCATATGGTCATCAGTAAATAAGCATCGGAATAGACTTGTCGAAAAATTGATGTTTAGGTGTTGCACTTTGTCTTTTGAATTTTTCTATTTGTTAGAAAAATGTTATTGCTTTCCTAGTCTGCACTGTTTTGTAGTTTTTATTTATTCTATTTCTTTTTTTTAATCAATTGATTTCTTTTGATTCAGGAAAAAACCTGAAAATGTTGAACCTGGAGTGGGTAGATGGGTTTCGTACCTAAATAGAGAAAGGAAGTTAGATTCTCTTGTTGGCCGTCGCCCCACTGCTCCTCCAGCCCCAAAAGGACTTTACATATATGGCAATGTTGGAAGCGGTTTGTTTCTAATCCTATTCATGCTCAAGTGTTAAGTATAGGAAGTTTGGTTTTCCATCTATTTTATGTCGTCATTTTCCTTTTTTTTTTTTTTCACATTTTCAAATTTATATTGTAAGTGACTTTCAATTTTTTCCCCTAGCTTTTCTGCACTTTTTAGCTTGCATGTGATTGTTTCTTGACATGAACACAGTACTCTGAAGAAATAGCTTCTGATACTGCAGGGAAGACCATGCTGATGGATATGTTTTACGGTGCTACTGAAGGAATTGTTAAACATCGCAGAAGATTTCACTTTCATGAGGTCAATATTTTGGCATTCGTGATTTGACATCTTTCTTGGGCTTGACAGCTAAATGCATGCACACACATATACTTGGGGGGTTGGGAGGAAAGAGAGAGTTTTGAAAGAGTACCATGCCTGTAATCCCTGATATGTTGGATGTATTACTGGGAGCCTAATCACATGTATTTATTCAAGCTGTAGAAGAAATAATCATACTTCCTGCAGGCTATGCTGAATATAAATGAACATATGCATAAGATATGGAAAAATCAAGTGGAGGAACAATCACTGCAGTCAAGCATATCCAGCTGGATTGTGAATCTTCCTTTTGATATGAAAGTTAAGGAGTGGTTAGCTGCAGAAGAAAGATATAAGAAAGATATGCAGATGAAAAACATCCTTCCTGCTGTAGCAGACAAGTTTCTTGTAGAACAGCAAGCAGATCAAAAGGGGGCTAGCATTCTTTGCTTTGATGAGATCCAGGTACAAAGGAGCATGCCCTAAAACAGCCATTGGTAATCTGATTGCAGCCATAAATTCTTAATTCATTAGCAGTTTATACCTTGGAGATACTATCCTGGCAATAGGGCTTATGCTACTCATGCATGATGTGCGATTTGTTAACTACTATTTTTTCATGTTGTTTTGTTCTCAAGTTTCTTCAATTTGCTACTTCTATTTTCTGTCTCAAATTTAGCTAGAAATCCATGTTTGAAACATTTAAAGTTACTGTTGTCTGTTTTAATCTGTTATGCAGAAAAGTGGCTGATTGAATTTGCAACTTACTTCATGACTTAAAATGTGTGGTTTCATATTACAGACAGTTGATGTATTTGCTATTGTGGCCTTGTCTGGAATTCTAAGCAGATTGCTGACTACTGGAACTGTTCTTGTGGCCACCAGTAATCGAGCACCAAAAGACTTAAATCAGGTAGTTGGATGTTACATTCGAAATATCTTTTTCAGAACCTTGTCTTCTTTCCAGAAAATTTAGTCCTCTATCATCCTGGATAAGAACCAAAGAAGGTATCTGAAGCTCAATGGTGGCTTTCTAACATATTCCTGGGTTATATCACGGGGAACCCCCTTGATGTCTTTCTATGCTTGAAGAACAAAATTGCAGGTTTTTGAGCATGGAAAATGATACTTGCGCAAGTCTTATTTAAGCTACATTTGTTGCTTCTGTAGGATGGTATGCAGAGAGAGATCTTCCAAAAGTTGGTTTCAAAATTAGAGAAGCATTGTGAGTTAGTTCTGATTGGAAGTGAGATTGATTATCGGCGTTTTATTGCTCAAAGATCTAAAGACATAGTGAGTTGCTCAGCATTTATGCCTTGTTTGCTTCCATCATGATGCATCTTGTGCTAATTAAACATACCATGTTTCTTTTGGTCACATATTTCAACTGTAGTTTGCTATCTCTCTCTGATTTATTTATTTTTTTCTATGAATCTCTTAACCATGATCTGAATAGAAGGTTAGTACTTGATGCTAGGCTGAGGTGTGGTATTTATCTCCCATAGTTCATCAAATGAAGAGTTTCCTTGGAGTACTTGAGCACTCTTTTTTGTGTTGTTCTGTACTATAGTGTAGTTTGTGTTGCAGAATCTGGTGTAATAGTACATTTCCCAGTTATTGACCAATCTCTCTTGCTTCGTTCATCGATTCTTGCAGATCTATACATCTATCTCAAGCATAGTGAGATAGAGTAGTAGAACTGCAACCAATATTATTTTCTATTTTTAAATAAGACTGAAACACAAGTTTCTCTAGAAATTTCTCCTTTCTTTTGCGCTTTTGTGACCATCTAGCTTGTTGAGAATATGAGTGCACATCATGTGCAGGTTCGCTACTTTTGGCCATTGGAAAACAGGGTTGTGAAGGAGTTTGAGAAAATGTGGTGTCAGGTGACAGAACAGTTGCAAGGAGAAATCACCTCTACTGCTGTCCCAATTATGTTTGGAAGGTACTTTTTAAATACAAATTCTTCCAATAAATATATGGATTCAATATGAAAATCTTCTTTCTTTTTGAAACTAGGGAATTGGAGGTTCCCAAAAGCTGCAATGGAGTGGCAAAGTTCACATTCGAATACCTATGTGGTCAGCCGGTATCATACTTGTTAAAATATAAATTTTTTTCATTCTTCTTTTCCTTCTCCAATATATGAACACTCTGCTTAATTTTTTATAGTAATCAATAGTCATATACACTCTTTAAACGTATGAGTTTAAAATGTACTGTTTTTGCAAATATCATATATAGTGTCTCAGTAACCTTTGCTGAATGCCAGAGCACCAGGAATTAGGATATAGTGAAAAGATGAGGAGAAAATATATTATCAAATGGGAAGGCTAGGTAAAAGAACATCTCCCATTGGGAGTCCAGTCAACAGAACACTTAACTTGGTAACAAATGTGTTTTTGAAGTATTGTTGAAGGGAAAGAGTATTACTTAACTTTATTCTCGTGGCTTTTACAAGTTGTTTAATTGTTTTGAGTTCTTGAAAATCTAGTTGCTATTTTTATATCAACACTGACAACTGCAATTTGACATATTATATGATACATTTGTTTTGAGGAGGTGTATAACTGGTTCTCTTCTTTTCACCTTCTGTTTTCCTTTAGTCCCTTTTGGTTGGTAACTTGCATTATTGTTGATTATATGCAGCGAGGTGCAGCAGATTATATTGCAGTTGCAAAAAATTATCATACTGTCTTCATCTCTGATATTCCAATAATGAGCATGCGAATCCGTGACAAGGTAACACTATTTATTTGTGCCAGCAGAAGAACGCACCGTATGTGAGGACCATTAATTTTAAATATGACACCAAACATGGTTTTGTTTGACGTTGAGGCAAAACCAAGTGAAGGCATAAAAAATTGACCAATTACACTGCCGTGTCCTGTTACATTGTTCAGTCACTTGTCTGTTCCCATTCAGTTTAGACTTCGAATCATTTGCATGAAGGATTCCACTGTATATGATGCTAACACTTTTGCTGTATAGCTACTTGGTATAATTTCCCCTACTCTTTCCACGTCTGCTGGATTGCGTGCATACAAACATGTTATGTATAATTAAAAGTGATGTGCTGAGGCTTATGATATTATCTTTGGATCCTTAAAGCTATTGCTGCATAGCAGATTTGAAATCTTTATAAAACATATAATCAGCTGTGACTTATTGTTACAACTAAATAATACACTTGCGTTCAATAACACTTTTGTGTTTTTTACATTCCAGGCACGTAGATTTATCACGCTCATAGATGAGTTGTACAATCATCATTGCTGTCTCATTTGCTCTGCAGCTTCTTCTATTGATGACCTATTCCAGGGAACTGAGGAGGGTACACTTTTTGATTTGGAAAGGTAGTTCCATCTTTATGTTTACGTTGTTCTTAATTGTTATCCAACACAATAGGTTATGGCTGACATAATTTTTCTTCTAAGTTAGCATTTGAACCTGCTAGCTCATTCTTCTATATTTAGCTTGCAAATTACGCATATTTGCCTCAGTTTATTCTAGTCTTGCAATTATATGTTATTCCTTCTGGAATAACACGTAATTTTTTTGTGTCCAGTTTCCAATTTGAAACAGAGGCGGAAGGTGGAAAGCTTCGCAGAAATGTTTTAGCTGAAGGCAATGTGAGCACTGGAGGTGCACCAACTGGTATAGTTTCCATGCTATCTGGTCAAGAAGAGATGTTTGCTTTCCGCCGTGCAGTAAGTAATGTTACAACCTTGTTTTGGATTCTACATATTTCTTGAACAAAAATCAGCAGTGACATCTATCTATTTAGGGTTATGAGGAATGATCATTCACAGCATACCTTGCTTTTGTGCATTAAAGTAGATAAGAAACAATTTCAAGTAGTACGTAAACTGACAAGCTGTCTCTGTAGGTTTCCCGATTGATCGAAATGCAGACACCTTTTTACCTGGAAGGAGTTAGAATGCTTCACCCCTATTTCCAAAAGCAACATCAAGGGTTTGGAAATAATCATTCAGGCATTATAGAAGGTGAAGCATCACCTTGATTAGTAATTTTGCCGTACTTCTAATATATATTAAGCCTTCCAGCAAGTGTATTATAAGGGTGTATAATGTTTGTACCTCAAATCGATTTTTCTACTTTTCCAATTTTAAGGTATCGCTTTTATAAAGCATAAGAAATAAAACTACATCTTGTAAGATTACAGTGAAATAAAATTCGGCAGTAACCCTTTCCTTTTTTTTTTTTTTTTTTTTTTTTTAATAAAAACTACATCTTGAAAGATTACAGTGGAAATAAAATTCGGCAGTAACCCCTTTCCTTTTTTTTTTTTTTTTTTTTTCCCACCTAAAGCAATTGTGTGGTACAATTAGAATTGTTTGCTTTTTTTTTTTTTTTTTTTTTTTCCCCACCTAAGCAATTTGTGTGGTACAATTAGAATTGTTTGATGCCTGAAAGTACATACTTTGTTGTAATAATTTTACTCTATTTCGTCTTATTTCATTAAGCTATATATACAAGGCAATCATTTGACAACTGAGGCCCTCTTTAGGCGACGATCCACAGGGAACCTTGGCATCAAAATCAAATCCTGCAACAGAAAATAGTATGGTCATTCATAAACGAGATAGATCCGTTGGATGATATTATGAGCATAGTTAAAAGGATGAATATTACTGTATAAATTCGATATTGATTTTGGCAGTGGAGATTCTGGAGATGGCATCAAAGGCTTTGTTGGAAAGCATTAATGTAGCTAAGCATGGATTATCACGACAAAAATCCACCACCTGCACTACAATGGATCCACCTTTACATGCTCGATTTGGGCCGCTGATGCATCTCATCCTGTATTTGCGACCACAAGCGGCTCCGTTGTCCCATAGCCCGTCGCTGGCCGCTGCAAAATATCCTCCCTCAGGGAATTGATCTTCGTTGTAACCATTGCATTTCGTTGCTTCATCAGCACAGTAGAGCACAAGAAAGTGTATCAGATGACTAGGCAAATAGCTAAATTTTCTAGCTTTAATAACACCAAGTGACTTTAATTTTATAAAGCTGAACGACAGGAACATATAAGTAGAAAATGCACACGTAGTTGTTTAATTAGTGTACGATGCTTGTGCACGTGAAGATCGGAGAACATTTGACATGCACTGTTCCTTAATCCTTGTTAAAACCTCGTCAACTAACATAACTGTCAATTATGACTATATGCATGCTAAACTATTTGAGGGAAAAGGATTTAGTTTGTACGTACGCAAGTATGGAGGATCATAAGACCTGGCAGTCCCGACATCCGCTAAGTTTTCTTGAACCTGAAAGCACAAGAATAATAATAGCAAGAGGATCGAGGCAATTGTCCTAAGTGGCCTCATTTTCATCGTTCGAGCTCTACACTTGAAACATTGATCTTACCCTTCTGCAATCCTATATTTATAGTCACTCGGGTCCAAACTTCCAAGGATGCGAGAGCATGGAGACCCACACCTATTGGCACGAAATAAAATCGTCTTCCTATTAATTTCAGATTTAAATGATGGCTATAAAGTATGGCTCATAAACATAAGATTTATTTAGGCCCTGTGCAGAAGTGATCTCATATACCAAGCCAACGAAAAAATTTTTTTTTTTATATTTTTAATATACGGTAATAAATACTCTTCGTTTGAATCAAAATGTTATCGAAACTAAAACCTTTTAGTCTCAAAATCCTCCTTGACCACTAGAGTCAGCTATTGGATCGTGATGATACTGTGAAGCACGAGTAACATCTGTGAGTGGAGTTGAATTGAATCGTTCACGAGCATTGTAATAGTCAACCCCCATGCGCAATTCTCACTTGCATCAAACATCAAACATTTGTCTTAACTCTATTAATTGCTAATTATCAGTTGATTCTTTAATTACTTCTCATTAATTCCATCTAAATTGCGTTTGCTATATTCCCCTTATATGGATTAATCTCCAATTTCTGGTTTGAACTTATCTCTTAATGGTAATGGGTATTCCGGCTGAAGATGATGGCTGATAAATATGCCAAACCCATTTTCTATATATATATATATATAGACCACCACTAACTATAACGCATGCACTAAAGAAAGTGATAAGATGACACATGCATAAATGTTAGTGGCATTTGATATCGTTACTTAATAAGTAGTATATAGAGCCAAAATGTGGGCGGCTCAGCCTCTCTAAATTAGAAGGCGGCAGTGGCAGGCCGGCAGTGATAAACCATGAACGGAAAAATTATAGCCACCTATTAACTAATTAGCAATTAATTATGTTAGGAGATGATGAAGATGATGAACCCAAAAAAAAAAAAAAATGATGATACCACCTTATCACTTCAGTTGAAAGTCGACGACGTTATTTCGTTAATTATTGTAATTTACTTTATTATCATGTAGACGATCATGATGTTAAAAGCTATAATTTCTTGTATTAATGTTTCTATAATGTCAATTAATATTTGTATTTTAATTTTTTTTACTATCGTTATTATCAATATCACAAAGGAAAATTTTATATACCATAAGAATTTATCTTTTTAAATGAAGTTTCATAAAAACGCTTTTCTGATAATATTGGGAATAATTTAATAAATTAAACAAGATGCAGGTGAATCTAGTTAAAAAACAATTAATATTAAATATACATAATTAGTGAAAATATATCTCATTCGTATTTAATCACTTAAATACTTAGAATTTCATTACTTCCTAAAAAAATATAATGATTCAACTTTCAAACAAGTCAAAGGGTGTTATTTAAACTAGTGACTTCATTTTAAATTTCTAATATAACTTTTGGAACAACAACGATAACTCCAGATTTTGAACTCCTGATCAAATTAGCTATAATAAAAAATAAATGATTGAATGAGGTGAATTCGAGTCAATTATAAAATGGATTGTATGAATATATGCAAATTAATATTAGTATATTCCCCGCATTTTGTTATCCCCTTCTGATTTAAGTTAGGATTCTTCTTTTCTTTTTTAATATAGGTTTATGCACATATCCCTATTGTATTGTTATATTCTTACTATTAATTGGTTAATGATTTATTATTTAATTTATAAATTTTTTAAATTGATTTTAACCGTTTATTTTAAAATTTAAAAATAGTTAATGTCCACATAAATATATAGGTCACAGCATAGGCATATAGAATAAATGGAAGTACCAAATCCAAGAACTTCAATATGTTTGTGGTATGCAATAAATGTTACAGGCAATGACATATTAATTCCACACAAGGGAAATAGTCACAATATTGCTATTTAAAAAGACATATTAATTAATTTATTGCTCGAGACATAAATTCTTGTATCGAACATCTCTTGTACGTACAACTGACTTCAATTACTTCAATTCTTCCATCTCCAGTTATTGTCATATCCTGTTGGGAACAATTTAAAAATATAAGTAGAAGAAGATATATAATTACATAATTTAAAAAAAAAAAAAAAAAAAAAAAAAAAAAAAAAAAATACATAATTTAAAAAAAAAAAATAAAAAAAAAAAAAAAAAAAAAAAAAAAAAAAAAAAAGAAAAAAAAAAAAAAAAAAAAAAAAAAAAAAAAAAGAAGAAGAAGAAGAAGAAGAAGAAGAAGAAGAAGAAGAAAGTAGGGTCTGTAGTGTATAAATTACTGGATATATTCAACGTTGATTTTGGCAGTAGAAGAACGAGAAACAGCAGAGAAGGCATCATTAGAGAGAAGAATTGTAGAAGGACATGGAGATTTAGGGCAATAATCTACTACTTTAACATCCACAATACCATCTTTACAGGGTTTATTATTTCCACTTAAGCATCTTAACCTGTAACGCCTTCCACAGGCAGCTCCATTATCCCATAATCCTTCACTCACTGCAATAAACAAGTTCCCTGCTGGAAACTGATCTTCTCTGTTCCCATAACACCTTGTAGCTGCATGCACAGTATATTAATGTCAAGCCTATAATTAAAATAAAGAAAAATGAAATAACAAGATTAGTAAACTCACGCATATAAGGAGCATTATAAGAAGTAGCAGTGCCAATATCTGCTAAGACATTATTGTTCTGTAAGCAAAGAAATATTACTGCTATGGCGATTAGCACCATTTTTCAGATTAGAGAGAGGGACAGAGCAAAGAGACAGAACACGACTATGTTATTTATAGTTTAGATTATCATTAATTAGTTAATTAATGGTTTTTGTCAGTTTTTGTTTTAGATGGGTCACGGGTTTCTTGATGATTGACTTGCTCCATCCACTTTAAAGATTGAATTATATTTCAAGAAAGGGAATCGGAAAAGAAACTTTCACTCTCCTACTATCTGCACCGCAGGATCATTTTTTAAAATATTAATTTATAGAAAACAATATGATTATCCCTTAATCACTTTCACTCTTTCATTTAATTATAATGAATGCACGTACAATTATCCATTGAATTAAATAAATATTAGTGAAAGAAGATAAACTGGGCCTCTTCTTCCTTTTTGCCTTCCACTAATACCGTTCCTAATTGGAAGTTATAATAGCAAGAAGAACACTAGACCAGCTCCTTCATGATCATGTCCTTTCCTTCTCTTTGGAATTGGAAACTAGTATTTTCTACAGAGGTAGTACTTATTGGGCCAAGAAAGTACAGAGAAATCCAGCCTTTTTGTTGTTCTATTTCCCAACTATGGCCCAGATGATACTTTTGATCCACAAGTTTCGCAGCCCATATCTATCACGTTGCTTTATTCATTGGGCTCCGGCCTTTTTTTTTTTTTTTTTGGAAATATTGGCAGTCGTGGTTCTGGATGATCATATAGGAAATTTAGAAAACTACTAATTTGATATAAATGAACAGTGAGGAATTTAGACAATTTTGTTCATCTCTTTTTATTATATGATATGATGAGTCAAATTTGGACTACTTGTGACCCGTAATGGGCTTTCTGTTATGAGTTTTGGAGCTGTATGAATATTATTTATTTATGCTCATTCATTTGTTTTTCATTTAAAGCCTGAACTAACATATATATATAACTAACATATATATATATATATATATATATATATATATATATATATATATTTCACAAGCACGACAAATCTTGTCGTGATTGTATTCGTGCTTTGTTGGTAGTATAGTGAAGGAGGCACAAAATTCATGAATAATGAAACATTATTACTAAACTAGTCAACAAAGGAAACCGAGATCTTAATATTAATAAAGTCATATGAATATATGATGGCTACACGTTCACTTAACTACTAAATTGGAATTTACCTACCAAAGAGGATTCACCTCAGGATCGGTCCACAAAAATTATTTACACAGGATAAATAATAGTTTTTTAATTAGATATAATTTGATTGGTCTTTTTATATAGATGGATAATAAAAATTCAAAATCTATTGATATATCTATTTAATAAATACACGTGAAGATTATCCGGTTAATAAATAGTATCAATTTGATAAATAAATAGGAGGATTAGCCTATCGGTAAATAAATAGCACCATTCATTTTTGCCTAAGAAGTGATAAAATGATAATAAAGAAAATTAATAAAAACTTTTCCATAATTGGTTTTACAGAGAGAGTAACCGTAACATTCCCTTCCTCCGGTGAGCAAAACCTAACTTCCTTCCCACCAACTGAACTCCGCTACTATTTAAACCCCCAAAATTCTATATGTAACAATCACTCTGAGAAAAGAGAGAGTCACCTACTCCCACCCCTCTCTTGCTAACTAGGTTCCAATTCCATTCCTTTTGGTTCTGTCGTCTTCTCTCTCGTATTCTCCAAACCAGCCATAGTTTCTTCCATTTCTCAATTTTATTTGAATCCCACTTCTCAAATGGGTATTTTTCAGATACCCATTTGCGCAAAACCCAAATCTTTATAAAGCCATGAGTGTTACTAATAAAGCCTAAGAAAAAAAATTTTAAAAAGCAGGGTTTTGATTGATGGGTAGACGTGAAATCAAGATATTTGATGACAAAAGGGATGGAATTGGATTTCTCTCAATCTCTGATTTGGGGTGTCATTGGAGTTCCCAAGATGGGCAATATCTTCCAAGTGGAGGCCTTTTTGCAAGCGTTAATCAGATGGGAATGGGGTTTCCAAATTCCAGTGACAATAGTAGCATAAAAACTCTGTACAGTGATTTGTATGTGAAGTATTTGTCATTTGTGGGGGTTCAAGAGGAGGAAGGGACATTAAAGAAGAAGAAAGGTGTGTTTAAATTGAAGATTAAGGTTAAAAATCCGATGGTGAGACGGCTAGTTAGTGGAGGGATAGCTGGAGCTATCTCAAGAACTGCTGTTGCTCCGTTGGAGACCATACGGACTCATTTGATGGTGGGAAGCAGTGGGAATACCACCGCTGAAGTTTTCAATAATATAATGAAAACTGATGGATGGAAGGGATTGTTTAGAGGCAATTTGGTTAATGTAATTCGAGTTGCACCTAGCAAGGCCATTGAGGTAATAAATTCTTTCACGAGTTTAGAGTTTTAAATCATGGAGATGCTAGTTGTTGTTAATTGATTTCTTTGTATTAGTGCTTAATTTACACTGTGAAATTTGCTAGTTATATACCTTGTAAACCGTGACCTCCCCAAAATTTCTCCTTTCAAAATTAGTAGAATACAAGCATGTGTTTCTTGAGACTGAAATTTTCCTTGATGCTCATAAAAACTTGGGGGAAAAAGAATACAAAATTATCATGTGAAACCTTGTGCAAAGCTAACCCAAGTATAATTTGCAAAAAAAGGAAAAATTGAGTGGATAAGAGACCATCTTTTTTGAGAATAAACAATTGACATCCATAGATGGCTTATGCTTTTCATTGGAGAATACTGTGGTTTTAAAAGAAATAAAGAAACATTATTTTGCTAATTGAGCATAACTAACCAGGCTCCATTTGTACATTAGGATACTCCTTCACTAAATTGGCCACAGTGCTATCAATCTGAAAGTTCATGCCATAATGGATAGACTTAAAAGTATTGTCCAAGAGTGTGAAAATTGGCAGCTCCTGGGTTTGTTTGATAATTTGCTGTATAGCTTTCTATAATTCTCTCTAGGAACTAACAGTTTCTTGTGTCATTTTTAACGAATTGTTTATGATCGTTTGAGTTGCTGATGTATGTTTTTCCCTCTTCTCTGTATAGTTCATTGACTGATTGATGTTTTTGCTCTTCCTTCTTCCAAAAAGGATTTCTCACCGTCATATTAAACTATGGCAGTTCCTTACAATCATATAGTGATTACTGTCATATGGACAGACACGTACCAATATTTCTTCTTCTTGTTCGTTAGCTTTTATTAGCGCTAAATTATACCTTCTACTCCTCTTTCCTAGGAGGCTTGATTGTCTTATAAATTAGAAAAACACTGCTGTTTCTTGGAATCATATAACTTGAGATGATGATTATGTAGACATGTCTTCTAAAATTTCTTATTATTGTTGTTTGTTTATCCGTACTAGTTTTCCCTTCTTTGCCAAAACTGGTTATTTTTCTTCTTCCAATCTCATTAATAGTGATGGACGTAAAAAAACATGTTTGTCAAAATAAGTTCCTCTCTTTTTTCCTTAGTTTTGTTTTTCTCCATATCTTTGAAAGCTATCTTCTAACATGCAGACAATGGATGAGGATATAGTAGAATGGACCCTATAGGTTGGCATCTGAGTATTGGTCCAGAAAAACAAACCACGTGACTTAACTTTGCATATTCAAAACAACAATATATTTTCAGATATTTATTATCATCTTACATGTAATTTGCTTTCATCACAGCTGTTTGTATATGACACTGTTAATAAGAATCTGTCACCCAAGCCTGGTGAGCAACCTAAACTTCCCATTTCTGCCTCATTAGTTGCTGGGGCCTGCGCTGGAGTAAGCTCAACTTTGTGCACATATCCACTTGAGTTGGTGAAGACTCGGTTAACCATACAGGTAATGCCAAAACCCAGACCTGGAAATTGAGATCTTGAGTATGATGCTGGTCTTTTAAGGGGGGGTTTATTTTATTTGCAGAGAGGGGTTTACAGTGGTATTTTAGATGCATTCTTAAAAATACTGCGAGAAGAGGGGCCTGCAGAACTCTATAGGGGCCTTGCACCTAGTCTCATTGGAGTTATTCCATATGCTGCAACAAATTACTTTGCTTATGACACATTACGGAAAGCCTATCGGAAAGTTTTTAAGCAAGAGAAGATTGGCAACATTGAAACCCTTCTAATTGGATCAGCTGCTGGAGCTATTTCAAGTAGTGCGACCTTCCCACTTGAGGTTGCTCGTAAGCACATGCAGGTTGGAGCTCTCAGTGGAAGACAAGTATACAAGAATGTACTTCATGCACTTGCAAGTATACTTGAGGAAGAAGGGATCCATGGTTTATATAAAGGGCTGGGTCCCAGTTGCATGAAGTTGGTACCTGCAGCTGGGATAGCTTTTATGTGTTATGAAGCGTGCAAGAGGGTACTCGTAGAAGATGACGAAGAGCAATAGAAGAGTTGAAAGTAACTTTGATTTATATTGAAGCTTGATTTATTTTCAGGAGCTAAATTCATTTTGCAGTTTACTTTTTTTTTTTTTTCTTTAAGGTGCTGAGAGCTATTTTGTTGAGGACTCGGTCAATAACCTCGTTTGGAAGGTTAGGAAATACAGTTTTCTGTTTTTGTTCTCCCATGGTTAAAAAGAATCGAACAGACAAAGCTGACATATTACACTGTCGTTTAATACCTTCTCATCCCTATATGCCAATGCCTACTGTTTAATCCTCTTAAATAAAGCATAATAACTAATTAAATTGTAAGTTGGAGGGGAGGAAATCACGTGATTTAGCAAGGTTACCAACTTAATTGTTATATACATGGCCCTAGCACAAACTATTGGATGAAATGAGAACACAAATTAATATTGAATTTCTAAATTTCAATTTAATCGAGTTGAAATCCAAGTCAATAAATTTGATATCTCTATCAAATGCCATTTGAGGATTAATAAGAAAATGTGAGGATTAGTAAGAAAATAACCAACCAAAGCAACTTCACTCTTAACGGTAACAGAGCCTGAAAACGAATTTGAATTTTGAATAGAGAAGTACTGTTGTTTTACAAAACCTCCTACAAGAAATATTATAACAGCTACTAAACTTGAAAAATCCAATTTAAAATAAAACATTACAGATGTCCACAATAAAGGAACTTCAGAGAACTGAAGCTCAGCTTTGCTCCTCTCCATCTCTTGCTTCCTCTGTAGCAGCAGCAGCCATCAGTTCATCAAACTTCTCTGTCTTCCCTAGCAATATTTCAATCTACCAGGAAGCAAATTCACACAATATCAGTCTTCCACTCCCATAAGAGAGTTAAAAATTACTACCATTAACAAGACAACCAGATGCTCGGCGGCAATAAATATGAAAACCTAATCCATGTGAATGCACCACCTGCTAACTAGAATCCGGTGTTATATTTCATTACCAGAATGCAGGCCATGCATCCATTGTTGACCATTATTATTCTATAATTCACTATACAAGCCAACATCACATGTAATGTAAGACGGTACTCATGAAATTCTCTAGTGTCAAGGCTTTCATAGTTCAATTAGAATTGATAAGCAATAGGCATTGTTCTTAGAATCATCCACATCCAATTTCTCCGGGTTTTAACACCCAATTTTGTCATAACCTTTGAGGTAATAGCCTGATGACTCAACCATTTTCATCACAGACCCTACTTCCACACATTTGATCATAGTTCATAAGAAAAGAACTCATGCCAAACACACCATGCATTCATCATTGATTATTACCCAACAAAAAATCGTAGTTTCCAACAAAAGAAAGCATAGGATTTTACTTTTACTTTGTCCTAGGTTTTCATAGTAAAACCTTATCTGGCAGGATTCTATCCACTAAATCCTTCAATAACAGAGGATCTCAACAGCAAATCAGGTTCACTTCAAAAGTACTTATATTTCGGATTTACCTTTGCTTTTGGAACAGGCCGCCCTCCTGTTTCCTCCCTCATGTCAACAGTGGAAGTCGTGATCTCTGCCCATGAGTATCAAAACAATGAATCATTGAGCCCTCAAAATCAATTTAAAATTAAAATAGAATGCTATGAAAAGGACAGAAGTCTCACTCTTCTCAACAGCCAGCCCATTATTCTTCAAGATCTCAGCAATTGTAACAACTGTTGCTATAGCTGTAGATAAAATGTTATAAAGACTCCAGTAATTAGTAGTAATCCAAGTATAGTTCAAATATTAGCAGCCTATATTGTAACAATTGCAAATGCTTTTTGTGCTTCAATAACATAACAAAGTAATAATAAAGCTGGTGAAGTTAAAAGCAACATATAAGGAAGCATCTAAAGAAAAAATGATACCCATTCCAAGAGCAGACAGCTCAACTTCATTGTGTTGCTGCATGTATCTCTGCAAAAGAAAACCATTAACCTCTTAATAGCTATTCACACAACAGATCAAAGTGCATGCATGTGCTTACAAGAACGAGTAATTATAGAATCCAATCAATTAATTAAGTTTTAACCAAGGTAAGTTCTCAAGAACCAAAAACAACATCTTTTATTACTATCTTCTGATTATGGACAGAAGCCCTCATTAACTCGAGGGACTGGTGATAAAAGAGAATATGCTACAATTTTGAATCATGAATTTTATACAGTAGGCGGGGCTGAGAAAGAAAACAAGAACCAAAGGAAATAAACCCTAAACAATTTTCAGAATCGCATATTATATCCACGAACAGATCTAATTTGCAGAAAGAAAAAAGAATAGTTTTCCAATTTTCAATTCCAGGCAGCTCAAAGGAAAAGCACTGTAAAAGTAAACAAAGAAAGAACTAAGCCATTGAAAGAGTACCTTGGCGAGATTGACATAGAAGAAGAGGGGTTTTTTGGTATTAGAGACTTGAATACGATTCTTCTTGTTAGCTGAAGCTGGATCAGTGATGTTTAAGTTGTTTACTCCCTCAGTGATCCCCTCCATTGTATAACTATTTGTTGTTTAAGCTCCTGCCTGCCTACAGAGAAACCTATTAACCCTAACTCTTCGTCCAAATTTCTCTGTTGTTCTGTCTGTAGAAGCTTCTGCTGCTGCACGCGAGAGGGATGCTGGACGAGGAGGCTGCAATTTATAATTAGCTCAAAAACCCTCGATTCTCCTGCTTTTGTTTTAGGGGTTTTAAACAAGAATTATCACAGACACGGCGTCGTTCCATTAGATCTGTTTTTTGTTTCTTATTTCATTTTAATTTAAAACCACAAAAAAAAGTCCAGTTTACTTTTTGATAGCCCATTAATTATAGTGTATGACCCAATGGGCCCTTTGAAGCACCCAGGTCCGTTCTCCACAGGAAAATATTTATTTCTACAGTATTATTATTAAGAGATTGATGACATAATAATGAAAGTAACAATTGCCACATAATAGAAGAAAAAAAAAATCCTTCCCTTTCCCAATCAGTACATCTTAACCCTACATTTTTTAATGGTTCACAATATTTAGAATATTGAATTTCAATTTTATTATTTATTAGGTAAGTAAAAATTATAATAATTAATTTATATGAATTATATTTTTGTTTTTCATTCATTACCTTTCAAATTTCAATCAAATAGCAAAAGGCATGCATAAATTTGATTGCTTTGAATTTAAAATATTTTTTTCATGATCTATTTAAATTAATTTGAATTTTTATAAACCGCTATTGCAAAGTTAGTTTTTTAGGTTGTAATTAGAATTTATAGAATTGGAATTACATGAAATAATCTAAACTTCCAAGCGTAATGAATAAATAAATAAAGTACCATGAGCATGATCCAGCAAAAGAATGACATCAATTTTCTTATCATTAACCGAGTAAAAAGACAATGAATAGGTTTCTATACGCTTTTAGTTTTTACCAAAAGACAATCACTGAACTGCACAACGAATACAAAGTCGCTGACTTGATATCCAGAACAATACCTACTCCCATGGAGGAGACCCAAAAGATGAAACAGTTCGAGGGAGGGAGAGAGGAAGTGACCAAATAACAAAATGACATGGAAGGGTTCATATTTTGTTTTGACGTTCTCATCCGTCTTAACTTCCTTCCAGACGAAGAAGAGAGCACTAGCCGTACATAAATTCGAATATAATACCCACCACGAGTACCTTAATTTCTTGTTATATACACTAGGCAGAGAGATGGACTTTATGACAAAAAAAAACCAACTTAGCAATTGATGCCACATTGACCATTTGAAGAAGCTGTAGAATCTGATGTGAAGGGATCTATCCTCACCCACAGCAACGAGAAAATGGAAGCAAGAAGAATAGACCACACGATGACAATGGTTGGTGTTCGGTTTTGCCGACCCAATAAACCCTTCAGGAAAGGGTACAAATGAGCAATAACCCATATAGCAAAGAATAGCTTGCCGAATAGTGGACCCCATGATTGGTAGCCACTATTTATGGCATATGAAACACCAGCTACGATGCCCACCAAGTTCACAATAAGGACTGTAGTTGGCGGGATGAGAAGAGATGTCCACTTGAACACATACAGCTCTGCAAACTCCCCATCATCATCAGAAGCTTTAGAGGTGACAGTAAAGTTGGTATCAATCCCTGCAAGAACCTTCAAAAGACCTTGGAACACAGCGAAGAGATGGGCTGATGTACCACCAATGACCCAGAATTGTTCATTCCTCCACCAGTCTTCAATACCAACTCCACTCCACCTGAGCTCAAGTATTCCAGTAGCGAAAATGGAGATGAAGAGGAGAATGAACCACATACTAGCAAAATTGCTTATCTGATAAAATTGTGATACAATTTTGTTAAGTTCTCATGATTAAGATATATATCTCCACATAAATTGGTCAAAGTGAAATGAAACTGTCAGCTTACCTCAGGAATAATAAATTTTCCAGTTAGAAGGCAAAAAGCAGGAAGCATACAGTAAGCGATCAGTGGGATAGAGGTCAGTGGGTACACAATGGTATTAATGTATGCCAACCTCTCAAGGAGCTTCAATTTTCCATTGTAACCATACCATATTGGACAATGCCTGCTCAGCAAAATTTCAATTGATCCCAAGGCCCACCGAAGCACCTGGTTCAACCGATCAGAAAGATTGATAGGAGCAGACCCCTTAAATGCTGGGCGTGGAGGCATACAATAGATTGATATCCAACCACGTGCATGCATCTTAAACCCAGTTAAAATATCTTCTGTCACAGAACCGTAGATCCATCCAATCTGGCAGGAAACATGAACGATCAACTAATAAGCACAGGTACACACAGAGAGAAGGGAATGGGGGAGGAAAGGAGTCATTCAAGATTGCTGCTAAATGAAAAAATTAGACTTGCCTCTTTGCCCCATTCTGTCTTGTCTTCATATCCACAACTAATTACATGAATGGCTTCTTTCAAAAGAGAAGCAGAATTGGTTGATGGTGGAATGCCTCCCTGTTCCATGAAGGTGGCCGCAATAAAAACTGGTGACTGACCAAAACGCTTTTCTAGACTCTTCTGGGACATAAGAAGTGACCTCTCATCATCATATCCTGCAGAGCATATAGTAAAAAGTGAAGAAACGTACTGCATACACTTTTTCATTTCAATTTTAACCACATGGAAGAAACTGGTTACAATTGCAAGTTTGAGGGATTTTTCGGTGATTAGACTTCAAAATTATGGTTCAATACTAAAACAGCACTAAAATACCAGAGACCTTGCATATATTAAGTGTACCATGTTGATGAACAAGTCAAATTACTGAAATTCAATCCTCGTAGAAGTTAAACTAATAATAGTGAAAAACAAGGGCTAGAAAGCAATATATCATGGAATACCAACCTTCAACGCCCTCTTCTATATCTTCCATATTGAAAATGGGAACAGTGGATTCAGTTCTTTTCATTGCCCTCTTCTTGTCAATATACTTCTTATTACCGCTTCTTCCTTTCTTTCTTGATCCGCAACAACTCTTGACGATAATGTTTGGTTCCAAATCTTCCTCAGTCAAAACTGGATCATAACCATATAGTGCTTGCCTGTTGAAACAACAACCAGTACCAACATAGACTGGACCCTGGATGCCATCAAGCCCTTTCAAGTTGATCTAAAGAAATAGATCGCATTAGCACATCACCATAACATAAGGAAAAAAGAGAAGCAAATAATTTGGAGACTGATAACAAATCAACTGGGACATACATCAAAGAACACAATATTACGATTGGCATATCGATCGTGCAAATCAATGCCATCAAAACGTTGTGGGAATTGTACATAGCATGTTTTCTTGCCAAAGGCAGGATCCATCATGAAGCACATTGCTTCTTTAAGAGCTTTGCTGTTATTGAAGTAGTGATCACAATCCACATTCAAAAGATAGGCGCCATTGGTCAAGACAGCTGAAACTCGAATCTACAACAGCACAAGGATAAACACTGTAAGAAGAAAATTTGGGTCTAGAAGCAGCAACGGTTTAGTAAAGAAATTTGCCAATCAATCATCTTGACCACACTGCATAGTACATAGGTTCCAACAATCCTTTACTTCTAAGAGAAAGAGGAAGTCTCTATACAGTTGTTTATCAGAACACATATATATCATCCCAAATACCATTGTCTGTGATGATTAATCAGAGCTCAAAATGCAGGGACGATTAAGATAAGAGATATTAAAAGGACGAACCAATGCATTCATTGCTCCAGCTTTCTTGTGATGTTGGAAGCCTGGTCTTTTCTCACGAGAAACATACACAAGACGAGGCAGCTCATTTCCATCCATATCAAGGCTCCCATTATGCCCTAAGAACACCTGCTCTTCCCCACAGGAGAAAAATGTATACTATGGTTATAACTCGTAAGAAAGTGAATATAGATTAAAGAGTCACGACCACCAAAGCTCAGAGGAAGTATGACAATACCTGGATCATTCCTGGATGATCCCTAGGATTATTTCCAGGCCAAGGAGTACCATCTTGCATTGTCCAACCTTCTTCAGGCATCTTCTGTGCTTTAGCAACAAGGGCATTGATCCGCACCTTGAACTCTTCATATTCTCTCTACAACACATAAAAATTCTCATTTTCATCAGTAACCATGAAAATGCTGGAACACGTTGCAGCCAAATGAATATACAGACAGAATATAGAGAAACAAGTATTTATCTTCATCACTCACTTTCATTGCTCGGCGCTCTTTTACAAAAGAAGGTTGTATCTTATCCTTCAAATAATCAATCTTTTGGGCAAAATAAAACTCGGGTGCCCTAGGTTCAATGTTGTGTTTCTTGCAAAAGGGCACCCACTTCCTTGCAAACTCCGCAGTTTCAGAAAGGGCTTCAAATGTCAACATTGCTGAACCATCATCAGAAACATAACAGGATACTTTGTCAACAGGGTAATCAACAGCAAGAATGGATAAAACTGTGTTGGCTGTAACAAGAGGAGGTTCTTTGAGGGGATCCACTGTACTAACAAAGACATCAACAGGTGCTAACTGCGATGGTTCCCCTTCACGATCATATCTGCACCACACAGAATATTCAATTAAGTGATCAACAACACCATTACTCCACCAATCATGACCTTATTTTATTATCATTAAAATTTCTTTAGCTAACCTCAAAGCAAGCCTATCAAGGTAAGTCTCACGATTGATAGGAGACCATTTAGGAAATTGATCCAAAAGCCACGACAAAGCAAACCAAATCTCACAAATAACTGATGTTAGCCACAACGGGTATGCACCTTCCACTGGGTGAGATGCACGATATTGCAAGAAGAAGCCCAAAATAATAAGCCGGAGAATGATTACAACACGATAAGGGGTCAGATGGGAGGAAGGAATAGGCACCACACGACTCAAAGGCTGTCGAGCATCATCAGCCCTGTGACACGTCAGAAGAACAAACACAAAATGCTAAGTCAAATGAGGAAAATATTTAATCCTTCCAGCTTGGCATCGTAAGTACTTTCTCAGAATATAACGACGATAACTAGCTAAAGTTTGGATATCAACAAAATGGATTAACTTTGCTCTTGACTGGCATCCATCAATTTGACAAAAGCTTAAACAAATTTTAAAAAAGAAACTCACATTTGCAGTTCTTCTCCATTTGAACCAGTACCTTCCATGTCTCCCTTTCCTTCAGTGTATCTATTGGTCAT